CCTCGCCGCCCCGGTCTGGGTTCAGACCCGACACTTCTGGCTCTTCTTGACCTTTTAAGCCCTTTGTGTTCGGCCTCTGTGGTACCCTCGGCGGTCTCTCTTGATTATGAGAGTACGGCAGCCAAGGATTGTGCTGAGGTTGACATGGAGGGTTCTTTGAGACCCAGCTGGGTCGCCGAGGTCCGCATTTTGCCATCACTGGTGAGTGAGGTTGTTAATCCTCTCCTTACTGGTGCCCGTACTCGGTTCGATTTACCGGACGTTGGCAAAAGGTATCAGTTGGGAGAGGATGCGCTATTCAAGCCGCCAGTGGTGGACGAATGTGATTTCGCCTCCGTTACCCTCGGGGGTTCCACGTCTTCATTGGCCTCGGCCAGGCAAGGCAGGCGGCTTCCCCCTTTTCCAACCAATGAGCCAAGATGAAGTCTGCTTACCGGTCCTTTGAGGAGTGTTACCGGTGTGCAGCCCAGCAGTTAAAAGTGGCCGTCCACTCAGCTTACCTGTCTGTGTTACAGGGTCAGCTTGTGAACCAGAGCACTTGTGGCGCCGACTTGTCGGCTCCCGTGCTCGCGCATCAGCTCATGGGCGTTCATTCTCATCTGGCTCGGGACAGTATTAGGTGTTGTGCCAGCCAGATGATGGGTGCCGTCATGGGCATGCGTCGGCTTTGGTTGTCAGTGGCGCGCTATTCTCCAGCCACGCAACAGGCGCTCCTGTCTCTGCCGTTCACAATGGTGTCCTCCCTGTTTCCTGGGGCACTGCAGGTAGTGCGAGAGGCCGCGGAGGCGGTGTCCACCTTCAAAGACTCTAAGCCTTTGTTGGAACAACCCTCCATTCCTTGCCAACGGCCATCCCCTCTTACTGCTGCATATCCTTCTGCCCTGGCAAAGGAGCCTGCAAAGTGGACTGCCCCTTTGCAAGCCAAGCGGAGTAAGAGATCTAGAGGCAAGGGCAGGCCTGCTCAGTTGCAGCAGCCTTTTCGGGGCAAGGTGAAGCCAGCCCCGGCTTCCCGTTGAATCTTCTCCCGAAGCCCTTATTGACGCCCACAAAAGCAAGCGGAGACTTGCCGCCTGTGGGGGTGCATTGCCTTCTGCCAAACGTCCCTGTCGGCGGCCGGTTGTCACTATTCCTTCAGGAGTGGGAGGCAGCCACTTCAGATCCCTGGGTCCTGTCCACACTCAGGGATGGCCATTTGCCACAGTGGAGGCGAGATCCACTGTCCTTTTCCGGGGTTCGGCACACACCAGTGCCTACCTCCAGAGTGAAGGCGGACGTACTCCGTGCGGAAGTTCAGTCCTTACTGGACAAGGCAGCCATCGAGGTGGTTCCTGTGGGTCAGCAAGGAGAGGGGTTTTATTCCACTTAATTCCTAGTGACCAAGAAGGACGGAGGGCTCAGACCCATTCTGAATCTCAGAGGGCTGAACAAGTTACTAGAGATGCCGTCTTTCAGGATGGAGACACTCAGGTCAGTGATCTCATCCGTCGAGACAGGGATTGGCTTACGTCAATCGATCTCAAAGATGCCTAGCTCCATGTTCCAATGCACCCTGAGTTCAAGAAGTACCTCAGGTTCTCCTTCGACAGGACGTGCTACCAGTTTCGTGTGTTCCCTTTTGGCATCCCCACGGCGCCAAGTGTGTTCACCAAATTTATGCTAATCCCAGCTCAGTTAGCCAGGTCTCAGGGCAGGTGTTGTTACCCATACCTGGACGACTGGCTTCTAAGGGCCTTGGGTCCTCAGTTAAGCAGAGCATCCACACTGCATGTGATGGATATTCTGGTGTCACTGGGCTGGATTATCAACCTAAAAAAATCTGACCTCGTTCCGACACAGGATCTGGTGTTCTTGGGGGCAAGATTCAACACGGAGCAGGGGATTGTTTCCCTCGCTCCGGACCGTATCGTCAAAGTCCAGAGGACTGTGTTACAGTTTCTCGAGTCGCCCCATGTGTCAGCTCGAACATGGCTTCGGTTGCTAGGCAAAATGGCGACAACAGTGGATGTGGTTTGGCGTGCGCGTCTGAGGATGAGACCCGTTCTGCAGGCGTTAGCGCAGCTGTGATCCCACTCGCAGAGCTAAGAGACTATTCTCGCGACAACTGAGTGGTTGATTCCTCACTTGCGGTGGTGGACGGAAGTCGGGAATTTGTCCAGGGGGATCCCCCTAGACACCCCGACACTCTCCCTCTCAGTCCAGACGGATGCCTCCTCACAGGATGGGGGGGGTCCTGGGCGACCACTCAGTCTCAGGCCTATGGTCGGAGCGGGAAGTCAGCCTGCACATCAATGTGTTAGAATTGAGAGCAGTCTGCCGGGTGTTCGGGAGCTTTCGGGAGTTTGTTCGGGGCCGTGTGGTTCGTCTAGAGATGGACAATCAGACGACCATGACTTACATCCTCAAGCAAGGTGGCACAGTGTCTCCGTCACTCCTTCAGGAGGCGTGGCAGTTCCTACTATGGTGCGATCAGTTCAACATTCGGGTTTTGCCTGTTTATCTCCCGGGGGTAGACAACGTGCGTGCAGATGCTCTCTCACGACCGGACCTCCTATCCCAGAATGGAGCGCCCTACCCGAATCCCAGGATTAAGTGGGTGGCTTGGCCGCTGTCTGGAATCGCCTCCAAGCGAGCGGACTTCCTGCACCAGTTGCAGACACAATTCTGGCTTCGCGGAGGGATTCGACAAGCGTTCAGTATGAGGATAGATGGGCCCGTTATGCGCGCTGGTGTGTCAACAGGGGGATTCTTGATCCTTTTCTGCAGATTTAGTCTTTGTGTTGGAATTCCTCCAGTCTCGGTTGGTTGCCGGTCTAGCGGCTTCAACTGTTCAAGGATATTCTACGGCTATTTCGGCTTTCCATATTCCTGTTTACGGTGCACTCTTGGGGCAGCACCCTCTTGTGCAGCTCTTTTTAGCAGGCGTGGACAGAATCCGTCCGGTTGTCCGCCGTTGGACTTGCCAATCGTTCTTGATTGGCTGTCCGGCCCACTATTTCACAATCTGTCGGCTCTTTCACTCCAGCTGTTATCGTGGAAGGCGTTTTTTCTTGTGGCGGTAACTTCGGGCAGGCGGGTAGGCGATATTCACGCAATGTCGGCCGATCCCGCGCAAACTGTTTTTCACAAAGACAGTTAGCATACGGCAGCCTGATACTTACCGTCCTAAGAGAGATAGTGCCTTTCATGTGACGGCACCTATTGAGCTCCCGGCTTTCACTCAGCCTCCCCTGCCCGGTACCTCTCTACAACGTGCTCACGTCTTAGATGTCCGTAAGACCCTTAAGGCTTATATCAAACGAACAAGGGGTATCTGTAAGGATAACCAATTGTTTTGTTGTTATGGCAGGGTCAATGCTGGTCTTCAGGTGAAAAAGCAAACCATATCTAGGTGGCTTTTCTCTGCCATACATATGAGCTATACTCACAAAGGTCGTATCCCACCTGAAGGTTTGAAAGCTCATTCGGTTAGGGCAGTTGTTACATCGAAAGCTTACGCTGCAGCCCTGCCCATTGAGGAGATCTGCTCCGCGGCTATTTGGAGCCGATCGAGTATGTTCATCCGTCATTACCAATTTGACAGACTCTCCAGTGAGCGTGCTCGGTTCGCTCAGTCAGTTCTCTCCAGTGGGCAAGGTTCCACCTCTCTAGCTTGAGCTTTCGAGGTTTTTCTGACATGAACCATTATCTGCCGATTTTAACTGGTGTTGGGTTTTTTAAACTTTTACGTATTCCCTTGGTGACGGGTTTTATATGGTGATGGTTTTTATTCCCATGTCTTCTGCATTACTCCGTTCTGCTCTAGACCTATTGCCTTGGAAACCTTTGCTTAATAGAAGTATTACTGCATTTTGTTTCTTGGAGCTTATTGCGGGATTCCCTTATCTTCACTTCCGATTGATTACGGGAGGGAGGGGGATTTATCTCCGCTGTTTACATTAGCGAGGTTTCGCATTGTAATTGTAATGTGTTCGACCCTGACCCTGGCTCATGCCTCCACCTGATTGGCTATGGTGGACACGTGACCAGGTAAGTGAACTTTTTTCTGCTGTTTTTAGCTTGGGAAATTCCACTTCTTGTCGGGGTTGTTTTATGCGGACAGAATGCCACACCTTAGCTTCATCTTTAGGAGTCTGTCTTATGCTTATAAGTACCCCAAGGAGGAATATATGAAAAAGAATCGAACTAACCTGTAGAGGTTTCCAGATTCTTTGAATATATTCCTCCTTGGGTACGTTCGCTACCACCTCCCCCACATTCTGTCTGATTTCGTTCAGCATGGAAAGTGAGGTCTGAGGTTATAGTCTAGAGTTACCTGCTCTTGGCTGTAGGGTGCCGTAGGGCCCTGTAGGGGTGGTCTCACAAGACAAAAACATAGTTTTTTGTTTTGTAAATATTTTATTCAAATATTGTTACAACTGTCGTAGGGATTTTAAATGGACACTTAAATGCTTATAAGTACCCCAAGGAGGAATATATTCAAAGAATCTGAAACCTCTACAGGTTAGTTCGAATTTCAAGCGTATCGTGTATGCACATAAATACCTTTGTACGTCTAACATTTAATTTTCATGCGTATCGTGCAAATGGAAATCTATTTCGGATAAATACTTGTCAAGTTTCTTTTACGAAACACGATTTGACACATGAGGAAACCCCGACAGCAGGAATCCCTTGCGTTGCCATGCAACGATATGCGTCACTTTTTTACGATTGGCTAAACACTACACTGTTCCTATTTATATCCAGTCGGACCTGACATTTCACGCATCACACGGTCGCTCAGTTATTTCTCACGGGTCTTCAAATACAAATACATGGTTGGAAATAGTGATCGATGAATCGTCCAGACAAACCACATCACCAACTCGCTCACACAAAAACATGCCAGTACTCCTTCAAAATTCTCAGTACACCTCCACTTGCAATATGATGTGTAAGTACACTCGCACCCCCAAAAGTTATCTGGAGCCCTGGTTACACATTGACTGTGTTTGTTTCAGCCTCAGCAGAGATGGACGCTATCAGGAAGCAGTATACCAAGGTGCTGGATGCGTACGGTTGTCTGGGAGTCCTAGGCGTTAACTTAGGTAAATACAGACATATGAACACCCAAGCACCTGTGCTATGTGCAGGGTATTGCCCCTCAATGTCATGTACAGGGAAATACATGTGTGTATTCAGTAGAACATGATATAAAGTTGTGTGGGTCTCTTTGAACACTGATTTCCATTTGTGCAAGATAATGTCATCTACATTTGTCATTAGGTTCACAGAATTGTTAGTATTTTAATTTGTTGCCAGATTATTTTTCTAAAGGATTAGAAATACATTGCTCTCTGAATGGTAGCAATCTTGTTCATAAAGTTTTTCGGGAATATGTCATGTGTTTCTTAAAAGCTTGGGGCTCTGTTCCACAAAATGATCTTGACTTGGCTCTTGTGACTGGATAGCTTAGTATACATTAGTAAATAAGGCAGACCAGACATGGAGATCATATTGTTTGTAAGACAGTTTGCCATTCTGGTTCAACCTGGAACGGGGCGGTGGGGTAGCCTAGTGGTTAAAGCGTTCGCTCGTCACACTGAAGACCCGGGTTCGATTCCCCACATGGGCACAATGTGTGAAGCTCATTTCTGGTGTCCCCTGCCGTGATATTGCTGGAATATTGCTAAAAGCAGCGTAAAACCATACTAACTCACTCACTCAACCTGTAACAGCCCTAGTTCCTTGACCATTGACAGGTCGAGAGAAGATCATGTACCTGGTGATGGTGTCGGGTTATCTCTCTGTGGGGAAGATTGCAGAATCAGAAGTGTTCAAGGTGACCAGTGTTCAGTTTGTGTCATTACGCAATGAGCCTACAGATGAAGAGAGGATTGTGGAGCTTCGCAAACTGCTGTCATCTGGAACCTTCTACTTCTCCTGGTCTCAGACAGGCGCCCCCTGGGACCTCAGTCTGTGTGCACAGCGAAAACACCAGCAGGACACAGAGACGGACAACAGATTCTTCTGGTGAGTAGAGGTTTAGCGCTTCGGGAAACATCATCCATTTTAATCTCCAAGGATGGAAGACAAATGGTTGACAAGTTCGAAGAATGTGTGCAGGAATAATCTTTCCAAGGCTTAGATTGCTGTTGATGAAGAGTTCAGTGGCAGCATATGTAGTCATCTTGACTCTGATAATACACCTAGAATGATGGGCAGCCTTAGGTAGTCTTACCATTGCTTGTCATGGAAAACTGAGAAGATCAATGGTCAGACTCGCTGACTTGGATGATTGTTTCCCAGATGCATAGACTGATTTTCTTGATATCAATCCTTGTTTGTCTGGTCTATACATGAGTATTTATAGACTGCCCTAATATTGCTGGAATATTTGTTGACTGGGTCATATAACAACAAACAGACTGACCTTTTTTTGTAGTATTGATGTTGTACTGGAGTTCTCCATTTACTGTCTACCGTAGTTTTGTTAATCTTTAAATGTACATGATTAAGTTGCAGAGCCAACAAAATGTATTTGATCCTATGGTGTTCCTAATAATGACGTTTGGTTATCCTCACACTGACATGACCCATTCTTCCTAAGCTGGATGTGTTGACGTTATCAAGTCAGGATGTATTTTACTGTATATCCAAGTAGTTGTATGTTATTTTCTCAAATATTTTGCTCAAAACTTGTTAAGAACAGTCAACCAACAATGTCCTTTTTAGTGGGAGGATTGTTCTTAGCAACAGTATAGCATATATGTACATAAATATTGCTGTGTAAAGCTGCATATGGAAATACACAGCCTTCATCATGACGTGCTGCATGAGCCAAGTGGATAAAGCTATGCTTCCCATTTCAGTGAAGAAGTTTACTTACTACACTTAACTCAGCTGTGGTTATGTTCTAGGAACCGGATGCTGCATGTGCACCTGCAGAGGTACAGCATAGACTGTGGTCAGTGGCTGCTGAAGATCATGTGTGGTGGGGTGGAGATCCGCACCATCTACGCAGCTCATCGCCAGGCCAAGGCGTGTCTCATCACTCGCCTCAGCTGTGAGAGGGCAGGCACTCGCTTCAATGTGCGGGGAACCAATGATGACGGACATGTGGCCAACTTCTGTGAAACTGAACAGGTACAGCAGTAGATAACGGAATGTTTGTGTCAACATGGTTGGTGGATGGCTAGTTGAGTTGATGGTTTGTTTGTCTGCTTTGTTTGGTCCAGATTCTGTATCTACAGGCCGCTTGGATGTTGGCCATAGTGGAGCTACTGTTGCAAACAGTAATATTTACTCTTTCTCTGTCTTTCCTTCAGGTGATATTTCTAGATGATCAAGTGAGCTCTTTCATCCAGACGAGAGGATCAGTGCCATTGTTCTGGGAACAAACAGGAATACAGGTGAGTACCAGGAACACTTTATTCCTCTCAGGACAGACATTTGGTAATATATCATTATCATGATTATATTCTGATGTTATATTTACTTTGTCATTTTTTTGTTTTCACAATACATAGACATACAATACCATTACTTGCAGGTTGGCTCTCACAAGATCCACATGTCACGTGGGTATGAGGCGTCTGCTCCATCCTACGACCGCCACCTGCAGATGATCAAGAAGCAGTATGGCGATCAGGTCCTTGTCAATCTCCTGGGATGCAAGGAAGGGGAGAAGATGCTCAGTCAAGCTTATCAGGTAGATGGGCAGGGAAGCTTATTGGCACAAAACACTATCCAATTTGTAAAATTGTTCTACTCACTAGAGGTTTATCTTTCATCATGAAACTAATCAACTTTTAGCTGATCCCAAATTTCCTTGACACAAAACACTAAACAACAGCTTAATCCCTCCCTTGATCTCATCTGTATACTCTATGCACTAATCCCTCCCTTGATCTCATCTGTATACTCTATGCACTAATCTCTCCTTGGGTCAGTCCATTATGCCAGACAGGTAAATGCTGTGTGTTGTTTTAACTAATTGTAGGGGTACTGGGGTGTAGGGGTAATGGCATGTAGGGGTTATGGGGTACAACCTCTGCAACACATTATACTGAGAAACTGTATATAATTTGGCATCATAGATGAATCTCATGAAAGGCAGACAAACCTAAATATTTGTTTTATAAACTACATAAGACTGACATGATGTATTAGCCTGAGATTTATCACAATGGTATTTGCAAACATTTGTTTGTGAGTAAACTAACAATGCTGTTGTCATGATTGATACAACCTCTGCAACACATTATACTGAGAAACTGTATATAATTTGGCATCATAGATGAATCTCATGAAAGGCAGACAAACCTAAATACATGTATTTATTTTATAAACTATATAAGACTGACATGATGTATTAGCCTGAGATTTATCACAATGGTATTTGCAAACATTTGTTTGTGAGTAAACATACCATGCTGTTGTCATAATTGATAGCTCTGTAATCAGTGGAGTATCTGTACTAAACACCTCATGTACCTGAATATGCTGCATGCTCTCAGTTGTAAGGTTGTTGCCTTGAGTTTGGTGTGTATGTGATTCAGTTTCAGTTATTACAAGCTAGGATTCTACTTGATATGTATCAGTTATTAGTAGGACAAATTCCACGACTGGTATTGGTAAGTTGAACATATTGTTAGATAGGTTTCAGTTTGTGGTAGATAAGCTGTACTCAGTGGTAGGTAGGCTTTAGCAATTGGTCCGGAATGGTTAATCCAGGATTATTAAGGCTTGTTTGTTCATCTCCCAGAACCACCACAAAGCCTCTGTGCACAGTCAGGACACACCCTACTATGAGTTCGACTACCACTCGGAAGTCAGAGGCAATCTTAAAAACCTGGAAAAGCTCAAGAGCAAAATAATCAAACATGTTCACAACTTTGAGTTTTTCTACTTTGAGAAATCAGGAATCAAGAGGTATGTATCCTGACTGTTGTCTTCTTTACCTTGTCACACATTGTATATATATATTGTGATCTGAGTTGCCAGTGTTTCCTGATGTCCAGAGTAACATGTATGTGTTGTGTGTTCTGTAGACAGCAGACAGGGACCATCCGGACCAACTGTGTGGACTGCCTGGACCGGACAAACTCTGTACAGACCATGATTGGGATGGATGTAAGTCAAGCCATATCATTGGGCAGGGATGATCAGGCCCTAGATGGTTACATAGGTGGGGTGGCTGTTGTAATTACCAGTTTCTGGCTTAGTTGTGGTGTAACCGCGTGGTTAGAGCATATGCTTGTCATGTTAAAGGGTCTGGTTCAGTTCATCATATATGTACACTTTGTGATAATGCTATGATATTGACTATTGAATGGCAGCTCACTCAATAACTGTGTTGGTAATGTTTGAAGTTTTCCCTCAGATCCTTCCGAAGCAGATTGAGAATCTGGGACTCTCCAACAAACCACAGATGCTGTCAAGGTTTCAGGAGGTGTACAAGCAGATCTGGGGGCTCAACGGCGACCATGTTAGCAAGATCTATGCTGGAACAGGGGCACTTGGTGGTGGCAGATCTAAGGTATGGCATCAGCTTCCTCCCAGCTTGTTGTGATGTGAAGGTGTGTACAGTATCACTGCAGATGATGTTAAGAACCCAAGTCAGACACTATCCTTTCTCTAGGTAAGAGTGTCTAATGTGTATATTCATAGTACCATTCTTTCTGGATCTCTTTAGCCTATACCAGTCAAGTAATGGAAAATTATAAACAACAAATGTATCCAACTATGTAAAGACATTGGGGGAACATTATGATCCATTAATCCTGATTATATTTAACAAATGTCCAAGATCTGGGCCCACAGGTAAGGAGCAAATTCCAGAAAATTTGGCAGACAGGCCACAGTGATTGTGTCAAGAAGAATGTGAAGGTGCCATTGGAATGGATGATAAACTTAAGGGATGTTTTGGCTCAATACCAAATTTGGGTGTCATCTTTACTTGTATTCACTGATGAGGGAAAGATGGTGTCACAATCGGTCTTGCTTCCTTCACAGTACTCAGACGCAGCTAGATCGGCAACTCGGACCATACAGAACAACTTCCTTGATAACAGTAAACAGGAAGCCATTGATGTCCTGTTGCTAGGCAGCTCTTTATATGGAGAACTAGCAGACAAAGCCAGGTCACTGCTGAGTCCTCGATGTCTTCATGGTATGTATACAACTATCATCACAGCACAATGTGGAGTGCGGATCAATCTGTGAGGGTGCTCTCCCTCTCAAACCCCCACCCCTTCTCCCCAATTTTCCCAGAGGAGCATATATTCCTCTCCTCTCTTTCCTCCACAATTTAGCTGTTCAGTTGATAGATTTGGAAGTTTTTCAGTACAGAGACTGTTCTTACTTTGATATGTGATTGCAAGGGTGAAGCTGTGAAGCTGTAGTGTGATGGTGTGTTACAGTTGCGCCAAGCATCCTGTACAGCATGGTGCAGAGATACAAAGAGTACACCAAGCCCACTCCACTCAGGGTCGGTGTGGGAACCTGGAACGTCAATGGAGGCAAGCATTTCCGCAGTGTCGCGTTTAAACACCAGTCTGTCAGTGACTGGCTGTTGGATGCACACAAGAAGGCAAAAGCAGGCAAGTTTTGATTGTGACACAGTTGGTTTAAAGAGTTTTAATATTAGCTTATGGATCATTATTTAGTGCCAAGATGATGTAACTAAAATGGTTTGTTGTTTACAGGTACCTTGGAAGATGAATCAGTTGACTATGAGAAGCCTGTGGACATTTATGCAATAGGGTTTGAGGAAATAGTAGACTTGAATGCAAGCAACATCATGAGTGCAAGGTAAGGAATTTGTAATTCGATAAATCACCTTTCCTACACCGTGATCCTTGCTTGTATTTCTGTTGGGCCACAAGCCTGTGAGGTGATTCATATTCACTTGAATTTCAAGTAAAATTTCACTTTGGTGACTGAAACATTGATGGCGTAAGTAGAATGATAGTAATGTGAAAATAATCAGATACCTTAACATGACTCTTTTGATAAAACTTGACAATAAGCCTAGCACATGAACAGGATTGGAGGAATCATCACATCCTAAATTATTTAAGCAGTCAGTCTTTAATGGTAGAAGCTTTTATTGATCTTGCAAAACAAAATCAGCATCGGTTTGATCCAAACTGATATGTTGCAAATGTAGAATTAAAAAGAAGAAACAGTTGTTGTATGACATAGTTATTACCTTAGAAAATATACACCATTATGAGCCATTTTACATTAGGAACTGGGATAAAATAGTGTCCCACGCCATACAGTGTATAGTGAGAAAATGTCGTGACATATGTAAGACTAGATTCCATTGGTGTATTTGTCCTGCTTACAAAATTGAATTACAATTTTATTGCAGCACTTCAAATGCCCGTGAGTGGCAGAGGGATTTGCTGAAGACGGTATCACGAGACAATAAATATGTTCAGCTGACCCACATACAGCTGGTGGGCGTGGTCCTCTATGTCTTCATCAGGCCACACCTTGCACCTTTCGTTAGGTCAGTACCAGGCACTACACATGGTTGAAGTGATAAATGTTTAGTTATGACTCATTATTGAAATCACCAGTTGACTGATTTTTGCTTACCCAGTTTCAAACAAAGGGGGAGAGCTTGCTATGCCAGAACAGATTACCTATTTCTTTAGTTTTCATCATCTCAAGGGTATTACTTTGTCACATGTTTAGCAGCCATCAATTTTCTGCTGCTCCTGATCATGCCATTAAAGTTTCCCTAAGCTCTGCATAATGTTTTGCATGGAAGAAATGCAGAAGTTTCCTCCACCTGCATGGTACATGAAGCTTGTCCTTCACCATCTTATCTTGGCTCTGTACAATCCACTTGCATCTGCATCCTTAACATCCACTGCTCAGAAAACACTTTTCTACTTCTCTTAGCTACTGCAACTTGTGTCAATTCATGCTCTACGTTTCACAAGGATCAAATCCAAATAAACACCATCATGACACGGTCTCTGGTTGGACACCATTTCTATGAATCAATATCTCCATCAACCTGACCACATGTTTATTATCCTACAGCTTTCTTCAATGATTGTATGTATAGATCAACAGCAACTGATGCTTTGCCTTGTTAGTGAGTGAGTGAGTTTAGTTTTGCGCCGCACTCAGCAATATTCCATCTATATGGGGGCAGTCTGTAAATAATCGAGTCTGGACCAGACAATCCAGTGATCAATAGCATTAGCATTGATCTGCGCAATTGGGAACTGATGACATGTGTCAACAAAGTCAGCGAGCCCGACCACCCAACCCCGTTAGTCACCTCTTACAACAAGCATGGGTTACTGAAGATCAATATTCTAACCAGGATCTTCTGAGGTTTGCCTTGTTAGAGCTTTGTTAGTCTTTATCAGTGCATTGAAGGGTCTTTGTTGGAAGTTGGAAACATTTCTTTATGCACCGACTAAGGTACTGAGGTCTCACTACTGTCACCTTTGGCACCTTTCTATAGACAGATTCTGATATGGATTTACCTCTTCACGTTATTTTTTGCCTCCTCCTTGCCCACTAGTGTCATGGAGAGATGCTTCTGGCTTTCACCAAACACTTGTACTTGTGTAGCAAGTGTACTGGCATAACTCATGAAAATATAAACACGATGAATAAAGACATAAGAGACAGTAGGTGTCCTTATGCAAAAATATGCCCAGTAATAGTTTGGAGAACATGTAAAGTTTTACTGTCAGGCACTATTAGTGCTGAGCTTGCTTTCAAAGATTGGGCCTGCTTTCATCAGCAGTGGAACATGGAACAGATCGATGAAAACATCGTATCACCTACCTTGTGCATGAAATGACTCCTTCCATGACCCCTCATCCTACATACACGAAACTTATCTTGTTGATGGTGAAATATGTTGCATTATCATTCACAATCCTTTATCCCGACACAAAACTTGTACATGGAACACAGTTGTCAGGATTGTCATGTAGTAAGTAGAGGAAGTTATCCTGACCTTGTAGAGGCCGATAATGGCTAAGTCTGCAGCAGATTTCTGTAAAAAGTCTCGAATTAAATTCTTGATTTGTGTTACATTGTAATACATACTGTTCTGGCTTTGTCGATGTGATTTGTACTTCACTGACCAATTTGAAGAAAGTAACGATTATGTCACAGATTGCCTGCCAGGGACACTTAGTTTGGATCATGGATAAATCCGTGAACTATTTGCTATGTAGTGATGAGGTTGTTGTCCTTGCAGAGACGTGGCTATAGAGAAGGTGAAGACTGGTCTGGGGGGCGCTGCAGGCAACAAGGGAGGTGTGGCCATACGTATGTTGGTTCATGGCACGTCAGTGTGCTTTGTGTGTGCTCATCTAGCCGCAGGCCAATCTCAGGTCAATGAACGGAACGCTGACTATGTGGAGATTACGCGCAAGATGATGTTCCCAATGGTAAGTGTTCTCCTTTGTCCTTTAATAAGGGGTGGGGTGGGGTTGGGTGGTGGGGAAGAGGACTGGGGATAATCTTGAAGTGCCTTGGATTTGGTTTTATGTGCCACTTATACTACTTATAACAGGGACTGTACATCTCGTATATACTTTATCATGGAATTATGTTGCTTGTTAAAAAGTGTGATTGTTGCAAAACTCGGAGTGTGGGATAACTGAGAAAATCAAAGCAGGTTATTAGTTATAACCAACTAGAAGACTGAGAACCCAAGCTCCATGGCTGGAGTTTAAAGTTCTCTTCTTGACTTTTTAAAAGTATATGGTGTCTTGAGACGTGTTAATCAGATATTTGTTTACATTGGATGATTAATACAGACATGCTTTTGTTTGAATTTGGGTAACATACCAACATGATAGTACTAGTAGTCTCTTACACAACTTTATACAGTGAAAGAAAAATATATATACCAAACAACAGATATATATCTGGGTAAGACGTGTGGGTTCCATTCCCTACATGGGTACAATGTGTGAAGCCCATTTCTGGTCACCTCCGCTGTGATATTGCTGGAATATTGCTAAAAGCGGTGTTAAACTTTCTATTTTTCCTTATCCTGACTCATGCTTATTGCTTGTCTTCTTCTTCTTGCGAACCTAGTGGAACACTTGTATCTCCCAATTGAAGTTCCCTTCAATAAAAAATCACTCATTAGTACCCACCACGAGTTACCTCCCTTCCACAAGCGCGGGAACGAGGGCGCCACCCGAACCCATGTGCCTCACTCTCTCCTTCTTCGCCCAGTGAGCAAGACGTGAGAGCACCTGTGTCTCCCTGCACACTATATCCTTTATTTATATTTAGTTTGTTACCTCTTATATTCATCTATAGAGGTGTAACTAGTATCATTATTCAACATGCATTGATAATTATTCGTGTTTCTGCTGCTTGATTCACGGTTCGCCGTGTTTACTCAGCAGTTTGCGTTAATAAAAATCTGCACTGTTTGTAAATTACGTTACTCTGCTACCAATCCACATTTAAAATGCCCTAGTTGCATAACTCCATGTTCTATTGTTTCTCGTTGTAAATTATGTATTAATTTACCAATTTCTGCCTTTGATAAATATTTATGTTCCGCTTTGAGACGGAAGGCAGATAAATCTCGGAAACAATCTTCAGTCATGGCTAATAGATCGAGTCAGATATTTCCTGAGTTACCTTCGGGATAAGCGTGGGACGAGTCCGCTATATCCTAGAAGTTTACCTGCTTCCCAGGACGCTCCTTCATCACAGTCTAAAACTAGAAGAGCTTCCATGTCGCCTCAATGTACGCCCGAACCCCCAGGTCTACAGCCTCGGCCAAAGGGAAATCCAAGGCTACTAAAAAAACAAAAACTTTGCTTCTGATATTCAGAATTATGTTTATATGATGATGACATTTCGATTATCATTCCAGATGTATGTCATAAGAAGTGACCAGTATCGGCTACCGTCACTTCAGCCGCCAGATCAACATGCAATCAGAGATGCCTCACGCTGACGCCGGAGATTATAACTGAGGGTCTCGCCACTATCACAGAGAGGACACCCTCAACGCCAGCATAGACCATCCCAGACGACCTGGTCAACCAAATCATGAGGCTGATGGAAGACCGTTCACGGCGCTTACAGAGGCCTCAGAGCCACGGGCCTCAGAGCCCACCCCATACTAAGTCATACAGGGCCTTAGAGCCTGCCTTGGCTTCAGCGTAGGGCCTTTGAGCCCACAGACAGCACCTCCATGAAGGGCAACTCCAGCCTCAGAAGCGAACACTTCGCTAAGGAAGTCCCAGGCCGCCTCGGCGGAGCTAGAGCCTCACTGAGTAGCTGCAGGGACATCGGCGGAGAAGGAGCGCCGCCAAGCCCACACCCTGTAGAACACAGAGGTCGCTCTCGTGAAGCAAGCCATATATTGAGTTGCGGAGAGGAGCCGAGCCCACACCCTGTAGAACACAGAGGTCGCTCATGGCAAGCGCATATATAGAGTTGCGAGGAGCGCGGGCCGAGCCCACACCCTGTAGAACACAGAGGTCGCTCAAAGCGGGCAAGCGCTCATATATTGATCGGGACTCCCTAGACACTTCGCTAAGAAGTCCCAGGCCTTCCGCTAAGGAGCTAGAGCCTCACCAGTTGAGAGGGACATCGCGAGAAGGAGCGCCGCCAAGCCCACACCCTGTGTAGAACACACAGGTCGCTCGCTGGAGCAAGCGCTCATATATTGATCGACTCTGACTCGATACTTTCGAGGGGTCGCTAAGGCTAAGTGGCTCCCGGTCTATTTCACCCAGAAGATCTAGAAGCTGCTACCGGAGATCTTGCGAAGTCCCGGCGTCACGAGGAAGTCTCCTCCAAGGTCTCCATATACTAGCCACTTCGGCCATATATAGCCACTCGCCAGTCCGTTCAAGACATCGCATGAGTTGTCTATCAACTGTAAGCCATATGCCATCTACAAGCCTACGCTAAGACAATTGCACAGGCTATTTACAACACAGAACGCCGCTGTATTAATTTATCAACAGATGAAGAGCCTAATTAGGGATCTTCAAGCGACTACCTACTACGATACGACATTATCTACATGCGCGACCATTACGCAGGATCTGCAGACAATTCAATAACGAAATTGAACAGCAGCCTTGTTACAACGAAAGTAAAACTCATAATCATCAATGATTTCCTGAGAAGAAATATGTACAACAAGTTCAGCTTTAACAGTCTACAAGCTGACAACTTGCAAGGTTTATTGAACCTTATATAAGGAAGTCGAATTATCTTCAAGACTGAAGTTACTTTCACGACAAGCCTGGAAAATAACCTACCCAGCATTAATATTACAGAGCGAGGTATTTCATACCGAAGGTTTCGCTACTTACCATCAACCCTCAAACACGCGTGGTCACTAGGGTAACTTCGAAGTTACGAAGAAGACCGACGATTGTTCTAATATCAACGACGCACTATATTATACAAGGTTCCTTTTCCTGCTAAGCACCGGTGACATCACAGCTGGTACTCTACAGAATCAAAATGCCTTGTTCTGATTGGACCGAGATGGACAACGCCTCACGCAGAGGTCGCATCATAGTTCACAGTTCAACACATAGGTTGCAAGTGACAACAATATATCAGTGAATCGAGCAAACCTCCTTACAGTCCAGCTAATCTGAACCTTCATGATTGGGCTGCCTTCTTTGAGGTTAGAGACCTCCCATGTCGGTAAGGACGAGGCACGGCAGTCAGGCGCATTTTTACATAAGAGTTCAAAGATGGCAGTCACCCCTGGTTATGCACCTACATCGCCAAGCACTTCGCAGCTTAATTTACCTCGACGACGGGATACAAATGGATCCAAATCCATAGCGCCTCAGACTACAGTTGAATTCATCATCAAGCTACTAACACAACTAGATGGTTAGTAAACCTACTAAGTTGGACCTAGAACCTTCGCCAAGATCTGCTAATTCTAGGTTTTGATTTGTAACGGCGCAGAATCGTGATAATTGTACCGAGAACCATGGATCAAGATCCAACAGTCATTTCCATTAAGCCTTACTATCTCCGCTACCACTCACGACAGTGACAGAGTCTGTTGGGTTACGCACTTCAGCTCAGCTCAAGACATGACAGGCAGAGGCAGACTACAATTACATCCATTACAAGTCATCATCAATTCGCATCTAGACCGAATCTCTACCGTTCAATTCACCGGTTCAGGTCAAACCTCATCTACTATGGTGGACCAAGAGATCAATGTTTGAATAGGCGTCTCGTTAATAGAGCTGGAATTGATAACACTTCTCTACGTAGATGTGTCACTATAATGTTGGGGAGCCCATCTTGCCAACAGGACGGCATCAGGGCTATGAGCAATCAAGAGAACAAATTACACATAAATCTGCTAGAGATGCAAGCAGTAATAAACGCTTTAATGCACTGGAGCAACTTACTACAGTATACCCAGTGGATGATTCACACAGTCAATTCGACAGTGGCGTTTTATGTGAACAAACTAAGCTCAACCAGGTCCCCGAACATATCGACTCTGTTTTCAATTGTTCGATTTAATCGACAATCTCAACATACATGTCAGAGCATATCACATTCCAGGAGCAAAGAATGTGATAGCAGACGCTCTCTCTCGGCCACACATACCATCACGACAGAATGAATGCTCCATACAGAGATATTCACTCAAATTATCAAGGAAATAGGAACTACACTAATAGACCTATTTACCACTCGATTCAACAAACAACTGACAACATTTGTATCGCCAGTTCCAGACCCACTAGCATTGGCAACAGACGCACTAAGCATATCGTGGGAAGGACTCAACGCTGCACGCTTTTCGCCACCAGCGCTAATCTCACAAGTTTACTCAAAAATCAGTCAAAAGCAGAGCCTCCATCTGAATTGGTCACAGCCTACTGACTAGCTGAAGAACGGGTTTCCAACTCTTATTCAAGAAATCGGACAACCAATACTACATCTTACAGAGTGCTCGAATCTGTTAATACATCCGCACACCAAACAAGCGCACGGAAAGCCAGATATATTCCAACTTCACGCTTGGATTGTATCATAGCGTGTCTGAATAACAAGTTATTCAGCCAGAGCGGCAAAGCAGTCTAGCTTGCCCCTCGCGTAACTCAACTGGCAACTTATACGATGACAAATGGCACAGTTTGTCAATTATGCTGCAAAGGAAGGATTTACAGCTAGATATGCTACTCATCCTCAAGTGGCGGACTACTTATGTTATCTACGTCAGACTAAGATTTTATAAGGCTCAACTTGTCCACCTATCTTGCAGCAATAGCTCTATCATAACTGAGAACGGGCGGCCAAGTTAACTTTAACCCAGTTACTCAGCCTTTGCTACGAGCTTCGATTGAGGATTAAAACGGAAGTTTCACGCCCAACTTGGGATTCGAATATAGTGTTCCAACACCTCACAAGTGAGGTTTATGAACACGCTTTGAGGATATACTTGGACCCCATGATATACGATGAATCTATCACCATGGCCAGTAAGAGCACTGAAAAATATATCTCCACTGAGCCAAACAGGAGGGAAAAATGCAAGAGATTTATTTCTCTATCAAGCTACGCAGACGGAAGTCTCAATGCACTACTATCTCCTTTTTGGATCAGAACTGTCATACTACGTGCCTACAAGACTGCAGGATCGACCTCCATGAGCTTCTAATCCTCATGATATTAGAGCTTAACATCTACATTGCTCTACACAAATGCTATTGAAATAATGGAGGGTTATTTCTGAGATCCCATATGGTGTTTGCCAACCACTATCTGAGAGATATCACCACCGAGGACGCCTCAGGTATCCACCACTCGGGTCCCATGGTCCTCGCACAACAGTTGACAGTTCTCGAGAAGATAAGTCAATCTTACAGATTTTACTTATCTTATAACAGTACTAAATAGCTACATGCTATATATATTTTGCTTAAGTTCTTGTATTATCTTAAGCTCATTACTATGGTTATTATATCATACAATATATAAGCTAACAACTCTAATGGAGTTTGTTATTATATATTTAGCTTAAGTTAATCATATCTTAAAGCTCAGTACTATGGTTACATTATAAATGTATTAGCTAACAAACTCTACAGAGTTTTTGCTATTATATATGTAGCTTAAGTTCATTATATATTAAACACAGTACTATACTCATATCATAAAAATATATTAGCTAACAAACTCTACGGAGTTTTGCTATTATATATGTAGCTTAAGTTTATTCATATCTTAAAGCTCAGTACTATGTTTATATCATATAAGTATATTAGCTAACAAACTCTAAAGAGTTTTTGCTATTATATAGTTACCTTAAGTTTCATCATATCTAAAGCATTATGGTTACATTGTAAAATATATTAGCTAACAAACTCTACGAAGTTTTGCTATTATATATATAGCTTCAGTTTATTCATATCTTAAGCTTAGTACTATGTTTACTTCATAAAAAAGTATATTAGCTGATAAACTCTAAGGAGTTTTTGCTATTATATATTTAGCTTAAGTTTAGTCATATCTTAAGCTCAGTACTATGTTTATATCATAAAAGTATTTTAGCTAACAAACTCTAAGGAGTTTATGCTATCATATTAACAAGCTTAAGTCTATTAGTCTTAAGCATTGTATTAATATTATATATACTTTTATCATAATTAGTAAATTGTAATAACCTTTATATGGCAGCTGATAAGTTACAGCAGGAATTCTTCAGTTCAGTACCTTTATGAAGTTCCCATAGGGTTATTACAATCATCTCAGTTCAAATCACTAATTAGTAAAATCCAAAGTATATATAATCCCACCTCCTATCCGTGAGGGATTCTACAAGCAATAAGCATGAGTCAGGATAAGGAAAATATGAAATTTTTAGAGTAAAATTAATATTTTTATACTTATCCTGACTCATGAGGTAAGCCCTCCCGTCCTCCCCACTTAACACTTTGGATTTCCCTGAAAATTCAAATGTTGGGCTCAGTATATGAGGAGAGAGTGAGGCACATGGGTTCGGGTGGCGCCCTCGTTCCCGCGCTTGTGGAAGGGAGGTAACTCGTGGTGGGTACTAATGAGTGATTTTTTATTGAAGGGAACTTCAATTGGGAGATACAAGTGTTCCACTAGGTTCGCAAGAAGAAGAAGACAAGCAATAAGCATGAGTCAGGATAAGTATAAAAATATTAATTTTACTCTAAAAATTTCATTTTTTAATCCAAATGATAGCAATCCATAATAAATGGCCCAACAATCACTGACTGCCCCCATCAAGCTCTGTCTTCTCACAACAGGACAAGGCTTGAGGAACACGAGTTCTCTGTGGCTGCTGTGTTAGCTATGAAATCATCACATATCATTAGTGAGAGGTTGACAGATCTGATTACTCTGGCTAAGACTAATATATTGGATATACATTCCTAATATGAAGCATGTACACATTGAATATGATTACCAACCTTCAATTATTATACCAGTGTTTCACTGCGGTTTATTAAACTTATTAAAGGTTTAGCCATATATCTCCTGTACAATGATGGGATACCACTGTAGGCTGCATCTTCTATATTCTCTCTAATTATGGTATGTGTGTACATTTTTATATACACACAAATTCTGACAGTTATGACAATGTATTGATGTTTCTTGTGGCCTCAGGTTCAGAACTGTTGACCAAAGATAGCTATTTTATGAAGAAATGTTTAAGTTATCACTTCACCGGATCCCAGCACAGATGTTGTGTCTCATCACAATCAGTGTGAACTTATTGCATGAGTTTTGTCAGTCTGTCAGGCCCCTCAAAAGTACCCATCATCGACTCTAATCGGGAAAGTGTAACCCTAAACCATTTGTCTCCAGTTGCATCTTTGCTCTTATCACTGTCCCCGGTACGCCACTACTGTAAATGTGTTGTGCTTCAGGACCAATACACCGGAGTTGGCCATGTTAAAATAGGTTTTTACTCATATACTACAAATTACCATCTGAAAAAAATCTTTCACAGAATGGTAATAAAACAACCTACCGGTACCTGCCACATTTTGGTAGAGAATAAGCTTTCTATCACAATTCTCACAAATGACCATGTCTGCAGAACATGTTCTGTATATGTCCACTATTGAATTTAAAATATGCCCTCCACAGCAATATTAGTCTGAAAACAGATTTGATGCCAAAGTTGTTTTCTTTGTTCATTAGCCCCCAGCGGTGGGGTAGGGGTAGCCTAGTGGTTAAAGCGTTTGCTTGTCATCGAAAGCCTGGGTTCTATTCCCCACATGAGTACAATGCGTGAAGCCCATTTCTGGTGTCCCCCGCCATGATATTGCCTGAATATGTATTGCTAAAAGTGGCGTAAAACTAAACTCACTCATTCACTCATTAGAACCCCTTGATAAAATGGTACATGTACATTGTAATAAATTGAAAATGGCTTCTGTGGCATAGATCTGTAAAATGGTGTTGACTGAATTTTATTGTAAACTGGATTGACACTTACTTAATGAAAACTGAATTAAACCAAATACTTCTTTATCAACTGAAATGTTAGTTGAAACATATAAATATGTATTTAAAATGGTTTTCTTTGTCTTGAGTATGTACATTATCGCAATGTCACAATGAATACGAAAATGGGATGAAAATAAAGAGACATAACATAAAACTAAGAGAACTATATAATACATGGTCCTAGAAAACACTGAAATCTGTAGTGGAGCCATTATCTCTATAAACATGTAACCATCAACCTTTGACCTCATCAGTTCCAGGTGTCAGATATCCCTAATCTACTTCCTGATCCACAGGGTTAGGTAATCAGTCAGTGTGTACATTTATGGAAATAAATTTTATTTTAATTCAAGTATTCTAACAATACAGATGTATTTAGAAAATTGTGTCTAAATACGTCTTCACTGACAGCACAGTGGAAGTTTACGAGACCCTAAATATTTCATAATAATGTATGTGCAGTGTCAGGGGAGTGTTCAAATGTTGTCGCATATTACACGTGTTAGATGGGGATGGGAAACAGTTTACCTGGATAGGCTGCTTTTCTGGAAAGTTTTCTATTTCAGTGAAGTTAATCTATTCTGCTACTGTTGACATGATTTGTGATATTTTGATAAAAGATATTGTAGCTATTGTACAAATATCCTACAGTTCTCAACATGTGTATGTATCGCAAAGAACATCTAAAGTGATCTTGGAAACTCAATTCCTGTTGTACTACAGGATAATGGACTGTGAAGGGTTAACAAGCAGACACAATTGCTTGGTAGCCCAAGTGATATCCCACCAACCCTATATAAACATGGCACACGGAGAACTGTCTGATGTAGATACATTGCCATTTTGCTAGATATGAGTTCTTACAAAAGTTACATATTGACATTTTAACATGAGATATGATGATATCCCAAGAAAACCTAAACATATAACAAGGAAACATACATACTAATATTAATATTTAAAAAGTCTTGTGAGAAATATCTGTAGAGTGTCCTTAAAGGTTTCAAGGATGAAACAGACATCAATGGTTCAAAATACACAATTTGAAGTTGCTTTGTTTATAAGATTTGATTTCATGTTACCATTTCCTGATTCTCAAAAGTCATGCACAAACAATTAAGGGTACTTGACATTTTGTAAATTTAGTATTGCTGGAAATATTTTATAAATTATTTCACTCTCTGCAAAAATTGATTTTGAGTGGCCAAGCAACTGATTTATATTACAGAGGACACATGGGCATTTTTGCTTTTATCAGTGAATCTTGGTGTGACATATTTGTATCATCACACCTGGCAGATTCTAATGTGTGGGTGAAGACTGGCATCACATAATATAAAAAGGTTTGTTGTTAAAAAGAAAAATCAACAATACCAGCAAATTAGTACTGGTATAAAGCAGTGAATTATATTTTCACATGGGGAAGTGGGGTGGGGGTATACACAATAAAATAACAGATTTAGGTCATGTAGAAAAATAGTTATTAGTTGTTCAGGAAACTCAAGGAAAGGGTATCACTTTCATGATTAGGAGTTTTGTGCAATCCAACCACTAAAGCAAAATAGAGGTGATTACTGTTAGCTGATAAGAATCTAAAAAATGATCAAAAGCCCTTACAAAAAAACTATTTACAAACATGAGTGTTGATAACCAGGGACACAGGCACTAGTCAGTGAAAACCTAGAGGGACTAGATATCGGCCCCCTGTTGTTAAGTTACATCTGCTCTGTAATGAGTGGTGATGTAGATGAATATAGCTGATGGTGTCTGGCTCAGGTTGTACCTGCTGAGTGTATAAACATATTATGCCATGCCTCCAGCCACTGTGCCCAACTATATGTGTATGTTTCTCTCTACAGGATATGTGTATGGTATGTATATCCACAGCATGTGTAGAGTGCATGCATCTTATGTACATTGACCCTCCTAGCAGGCTAGTTCAGTCTTGTCTCGTACCATGTGTTCAGTAACCAGGCCTTGTAATGCTTTCACTGTGGAAGGTATGTTTGAGTGTGTAGACTGAGGAGTGTGTCACTGTGTTCAACCTGTATATCAGATGCTGGCTGTGGTTTTTGACTTAGCTGGAAGATGCTGTGTTGGCAGAGGCTGAAAAGTCAGTGAATGGTTCCGAAGTTGGTTATCTTTCTCTTGATTTTTCAGTGTAATATATACCTCCATTCTAAGTAGGTCATCTCCTGCTCCCATTTGTTGCCATGGTTTCGTTTGGGAGGAGATGATACCATCTGTAACTTTTCACATTTTCTTTGTCAGGTGGGTGTAATTTGAGTGTACAACTACTTTTTAGCTGTTATGATTATGAAATCATTCAGTGCAAACCTATGTCAGTCAATGCAGGGTATTGTCATAATAGAATGTACATATTTTACACTGGATGATAGAAGATTGTTAACTACATGTAATGCTAATGTATGGGCTGTGACTATGTACCGAGTGCACTACACATCAGCCTTGGTTATAGTTGTATTAGCCAGCCATGTACAACTGCCATACTAGGTGTTATATGTATACTTGTGGCGGTTGGTTTTTGAAACATGGTAATCACTGGAACATAGTTTAAACATCTTGGTGAAGTGTTTTACATGGTGACGTAGCATGTGATTGTGGTCAGGTTGGTTGTATGTGCTGGAGAGTGTCAGAAGTCTTGTGTTGTTGCTCCAACAATGTCACGACTAACATGCATGCTTCTAATCTCAATGTCCAAATCAAAATTCACAAATGGTGACTAATGCAAGCTCTAACCCGTTCCTTGTACAACGTTTACATCATTTCCTCACAGAGCAGCAAGCCCCTTGAGCTTGACACCAGGACATGTGTGCCTGGAGCCCCTCACATGTCTTGTATAATTAACTACAGCACCAGATGCTCATCAAGGTGATGCAGAGGTCAGATGACTGGCAGGAATGTCCAGTATCTAGGTCCACCATGCTTGCATTAATATAAAATGTTGTCTTCCTGATGATTTTAATGTTCTGTTAGGGTGTTGAATGATTTGCTTCTAGAAATCTGATCTTTTTTATTAGTTTCAAGTATTGTTTTCCAGTCTTTGCATGGATTTACTATTTCTACAGTTGTGATGTATGTTTTATCTCTTTGTAGGATATCTGTCCTATAAATAAGCCTGGACATTGTCAGATTATGTTAGACCTGCCCTACTGGCTGGAGAATGGAACAGTCACACAGTCCTTATGACAAAATATGTGTATTTGTGTCAGCAGAAAGCTGTTTTCTATCAGTTTTTCATGTCATGTTTTCATTCACTTTTGTACATGTATTTGTTAACAAATTAATTACACCATGGTTACATGACGGACACCATGGTTACGCCATGGACACCACATTGACTTGGTGGACATTATGGTTTCTTGACATACATCATGATGGGCACCACTGTTACACAACAGACACTACATCACAGACACTATAGTTACATGACAGGCATCATGGTTACATGTCGGGCATCATGGTTACACGACAGGCATCACGGTTACATGACAGGCATCATGGTTACACGACAGGCATCATGGTTACATGACAGGCATCATGGTTACATGACAAGCATCATGGTTACACGACAGGCATCATGGTTACATGTCGGGCATCATGGTTACATGACAGGCATCTTGGTTACATGACAGGCATCATGGTTACATGACAGGCATCATGGTTACATGACAGGGCATCATGGTTACATGACAGGCATCATGGTTACATGACAGGCATCATGGTTACATGACGGCATTACATGACAGGCATCATGGTTACATGACAGGCATCAAGGTTACATGACAGGCATCATGGTTACATGACAGGCATCATGGTTACATGACAGGCATCATGGTTACATGACAGGCATCATGGTTACATGACAGCCATCATGGTTACATGACAGCCATCATGGTTACATGACAGCCATCATGGTTACATGACAGACATCATGGTTACATGACAGCCATCATGGTTACATGACAGACATCATGGTTACATGACATCATGGTTACATGACAGCCATCATGGTTACATGACAGCCATCATGGTTACATGACAGACATCATGGTTACATGACAGACATCATGGTTACACGATGGGCATTATGGTAACATGACAGGCATCATCATGGTGGTTACATTATGACAGGCATCATGGTTACATGACAGCCATCATGGTTACATGACAGACATCATGGTTACATGACAGACATCATGGTTACACGATGGGCATTATGGTAACATGACAGGCATCATGGTTACATGACAGACATCATGGTTACACGATGGGCATTATGGTAACATGACAGCCATCATGGTTACATGACAGGCATCATGGTTACATGACAGACATCATGGTTACATGACAGGCATCAAGGTTACATGACAGGCATCATGGTTAGATGACAGCCATCATGGTTACATGACAGGCAGCATGGTTACATGACAGGTAATATGGTTACATGACAGCCATCATGGTTACACGACAGGCATCATCGTTCCACGACAGGCATCATGGTTACATGACAGGCATCACAGATACATGACAGGCAGTATGGTTACACGACAGACAGACATCATGGTTACACGACAGGCATCATGGTTACATGACAGGCATCACAGATACATGACAGGCAGTATGGTTACACGACAGACAAACATCATGGTTACACGACAGGCATCATGGTTACATGACAGGCATCATGGTTACGTGACAGGCAGTATGGTTACACGACAGACAGACATCACGGTTACATGACAGGCATTGTGTTTCATGACAGACACCATGTCTAAAGGTTGGGGATTATGGTTACACAACAGACGTTGTGGATAGATGTTGGATGATGTGGTTGCATGATGGAAGTAATGCATATTGCATCCTTCTGTATATATGTTGTAAGTTGATAGAAAACTTACTGTTAATGTATCAGATGACCTCTTTTGGCCATACACTCTGTATCTAGGGGGTATGAAAACACAGGCCTCAGAGGTGAAGGTGACCAGTATTTGACAAACTATAGATGCCTTCATGTGAGTAAAATATTAGAATTCATTGCAAGAACAAGCTTAACAACTACTTCAGGAAAAGGTTAAAATTTAATGGCTTGGTGAGTTTGATAACCTGAGTTGGTGTATTTCTTGCTCCCTTCTGTGTATGTTTTACTGATGGAAAACCAAAATCTGTACCAAATATTAAACCACATGGAAAAACTTGAATGTTTTGAGATAATAGTAACAGTAGTTATTGAATCATTTAGAGGCTGTGTTCTGACAACTGCCATTCACGGCAACAACATTATTATATAGTTACAGCTTATCACTCTCCTTCCATACCTACTTTATTGAAACAAGTCTGTATTGCAGACCAGATTACACGTGTGTTAGGTTCAGGATCACTGTGTATGGAAGGGCTCGACTATATATGTCTGGTGTAAGACTAGTGTGTTTTGCGAATGGTGTAAGATTAGTGTGTATTGCAGGGCCGGACTATCTCTAGTCACGACTACGTGTTCTGGTGCGGAGACTTCAACTACCGCATCGACATGGACATAGAGCAGGTGAAGGACCTCGTCCGCAGTGAGAACTGGGCAGCCCTGCAGCACTATGACCAACTTAATGTACAACGGGCGGAGGGCAAGGTAAGTTTTCAGTGAGTTCAGGGGCAGTATGGTAGAATAGTGTTTAAAGTGTCTGCTCATCCCCAAGATGAGCACAGTTTGAGAAGCCTGTTCCTGATGTCCCCAGCAATGATATTATAAGAATATTGCTAAAATGGTGTAAAACCCACTAAAGTCAAACAACAAAAGGTTTTTATACATGCCTTGAAAGAAAATTCATTTGAAACAAGTCTAATGTGTACCTATCATGAATTAAATTCTTTTGCTTGTAGTTTCATGGGGCGGTGGGGTAGCCTAGTGGTTAAAGCGTTGGCTCGTCACGCCGAGGACCCGGGTTCGAATCCCCACATGGGTACAATGTGTGAAGCCCATATCTGGTGTCCCCCGCCGTGATGTTGCTGGAATATTGCTAAAAGCGGCATAAAACCAAAACTCAGTCAGTCAGTTGTAGTTTCATGGAAACACTTGCATTCCAATTGCTCTCATTGGAATTGCCAGGACTGATGTTTAGATTGGTCAAGAATGATGTGTCTGTATGTGTACTTGTTGTGTAGGGGTTTGCTGGATTCAGTGAGGGGAAGACCAATTTCGCACCTACCTACAAGTATGATCTGTTCAGTGATGACTACGACACCAGTGAGAAGTCTCGCACACCAGCATGGACAGACCGGGTGCTCTGGAGGCGTAAACACCTCCTACCAAGAGAGCGTGAGTGTAGATGTACAGCTTCAGATGTCTTAGTGTAGATGTACAGCTTCAGATGTCTTCGTGTAGATGTACAACTTCAGATGTCTTAGTGTAGATGTACAGCTTAAAATGTCTTAGTGTAGATGTACAGCTTCAGATGTCTTAGTGTAGATGTTCAACTTCTGATATCTTAGTGTAGATGTACAGCTTCAGATGTCTTAGTGTAGATGTACAGCTTCAGATGTCTTAGTGTAGATGTACAGCTTCAGATGTCTTAGTGTAGAGATTCAGCTTCAGATGTCTTAGTGTAGATGTACAGCTTCTGATATCTTAGTGTAGATGTTCAGCTTCTGATATCTTAGTGTAGATGTACAGCTTCAGATGTCTTAGTGTAGATGTACAGCTTCAGTTGTCTTAGTGTAGATGTACAGCTTCAGATGTCTTAGTGTAGATGTACAGCTTCAGATGTCTTAGTGTAGATGTACAGCTTCAGATGTCTTAATGTAGATGTACAGCTTCAGATGTCTTAGTGTAGATGTACAGCTTCAGATGTCTTAGTGTAGATGTACAGCTTCAGATGTCTTAGTGTAGATGTTCAGCTTCAGATGTCTTAGTGTAGATGTACAGCTTCAGATGTCTTCAGTGTAGATGTACAGCTTCAGATGTCTTAGTGTAGATGTACAGCTTCAGATGTCTTAGTGTAGATGTTCAGCTTCAGATGTCTTAGTGTAGATGTACAGCTTCAGATGTCTTAGTGTAGATGTACAGCTTCAGATGTCTTAGTGTAGATGTACAGCTTCAGATGTCTCAGTGTAGATGTACAGCTTCAGATGTCTCAGTGTAGTTGTGTAGCTTCAGATGTCTTAGTGTAGATGTACAGCTTCAGATGTCTTAGTGTAGATGTACAGCTTCAGATGTCTTAGTGTAGATGTTCAGCTTCAGATGTCTTAGTGTAGATGTACAGCTTCAGATGTCTTAGTGTAGATGTACAGCTTCAGATGTCTTAGTGTAGATGTACAGCTTCAGATGTCTTAGTGTAGAGATTCAGCTTCAGATGTCTTAGTGTAGATGTACAGCTTCAGATGTCTTAGTGTAGATGTACAGCTTCAGATGTCTTAGCGTAGATGTACAGCTTCAGATGTCTTAGTGTAGATGTACAGCTTCAGATGTCTTAGTGAAGATGTACAGCTTCAGATGTCTTAGTGTAGATGTTCAGCCATCTAAGAGAGTAGACATATAGCTGGAGATGTCACTGTGTGGATGGTAAAACTGCAGGGGTGTGTGAGGGTGTACGTGGTAAAACTGCAGGTGTGTGTGAGGGTGTACATGGTAAAACTGTAGGTGTGTGTGTGTGAGGGTGTACATGGTAAAACTGCAGGTGTGTGTGAGGGTGTACATGGTAAAACTGCAGGTGTGTGAGGTAGTACATGGTAAAACTGCAGGTGTGTGTGTGTGTGGATAGTAAAACTGCATGTTTGTGTGTGAGGGTGTACATGGTAAAACTGCAGGTGTGTGAGTGTGTGGATGGTAAAACTGCATGTATGTGTGTGAGAGTGTACATGGTAAAACTGCAGGTGTGTGTGAGGGTGTACATGGTAAAACTGCAGGTGTGTGTGAGGGTGTACATGCTAAAACTGCAGGTGTGTGTGAGGGTATACATGCTAAAATTGCAGATGTGTGTGAGGGTGTAGATGGTAAAACTGCAGGTGTGTGTGTGTGTGTGAGGGTGTACATGGTAAAACTGCATGTATGTGTGTGAGGGTGTACATGGTGAAACTGCAGGGGTGTGTGAGGGTGTAGTTGGTAAAACTGCAGGTATGTGTGAGGTTGTACATGGTAAAACTGCATGTATGTGTGTGAGTGTGTACATGGTAGAACTGCAGGTGTGTGAGGGTGTAGTTGGTAAAACTGCATGTATGTGTGTGAGGGTGTACATGGTAAAACTGCATGTATGTGTGTGAAGGTGTACATGGTAAAACTGCATGTATGTGTATGAGGGTGTACATGGAAAAACTGCAGGTGTGTGTGAGGGTGTACATGGTAAAACTGCAGGTGTGTGTGAGAATCTACATGCTAAAATTGCAGGTGTGTGTGAGGGTGTAGATGGTAAAACTGCAGGTGGGTGTGAGAGTCTACATGCTAAAACTGCAGGTGTGTGTGAGGGTGTAGATACTGAAACTGGAGGTGTGTGTGAAGGTGTACATGGTAAAACTGCAGGTGTGTGAGAGTCTCAATGCTAAAACTGCAGGTGTGTGTGAGGGTGTAGATGGTAAAACTGCAGGTGTGTGTGAGAGTGTAGGTGGTAAAACTGCAGGTGTGTGTGAAGTTGTACATGGTAAAACCTCAAGGTGTGTGTGAGGGTGTACATTGTAAAGCTGCAGGTGTGTGTGAGGGTGTACATGGTGATATTGCAGGTGTGTGATTGTGAATGGTAAAACTGCAGGTGTGTGTGAGGGTGTACATGGTAAAACTGCAGGTGTGTGTGAGGGTGCACATGGTAAAACTGCAGGTGTGTGTGAGGGTGTACATGGTGATATTGCAGGTGTGCATGTGTGGATGGTAAAACTATAGGTGTGTGTGAGGGTGTACATCATAAAGCTGCAGGTGTGTGAGGGTGTACATGGTGATATTGCAGGTGTGTTTGTGAATGGTAAAACTGCAGGTGTGTGTGAGGGTGTACATGGTAAAACTGCAGGTGTGTGTGAGGGTGCACATGGTGATATTGCAGGTGTGTGTGTGTGTGTGTGTGGATGGTAAAACTGCAGGTATGTGAGGGTGTACATGGTAAAACTGCAGGTGTGTGAGTGTGTAGATGCTTAAACTAAAATTATTGACATGCACATGTGACTAAGTGTTACAAGCTTTACAGAAAACAATAATAGAAAAAATAACACATGGTGAATTATCCTATCTGCTTACATCAATCCAATATTATTAAGCCTAATATTTTGGTTCCAAATAATCTATTTTATTTGAACACCATAAGGTTATAACATGGTTTTCTGCTACAGAGGAGGAAGATGACCCGAGCTGGAGTGAGGGGAAGTTGATATTGTATGATCGGGCGGAGTTGAAGACATCAGATCACAGGTAACAGCTACACATTGATTGTCTCAGACCCAGAACCACACTTGTTTCTCTTCCACCGGCCCTTTCTGTAATGCACAAACCCAAAATGAAACAAGTCTACATTTGACTCATGTTTAGGGTTATCACAAGGGCACATTTTTAATTTACATGGAGATGTTTTCAGAGGCTAAGCATTTCTTCAGCAATCATTGTTTCCTTTATGTGGACAGCTTACTGGGCTGAAGGTTTTCTTCATGTCTATTTGTTTTATTAAAGTTGACACCAACTACCATATATTGCTTCCCTCTTTAAACCCCTCTTAATTTTAGGTACAAAAAACTAACTTGCCATATATGGGATGATATACAGGAGCTGAAATGAAACAAACCGTAGTGATGATACTACTCTCTGGTGCTGTTTTAGTGCTATTTTTAGCTTCTTGAATGACATTTCTGAGTTATCCATGGACTACACACAAGTATTACCCAATGTCCATAGAGACAGGTGCTATCTCTGCTCTCTGATTCAGGCCTGTGCTGGCCCTCCTGGACATTGACGTGCTGGCAGTTGACGAGGCTTGCAAGGAGAAGGTGATGCACGAAGTTGTTGCTCAACAGGGACCACCAGATGGCACTGTCATCGTGTCTCTGGCATCGGGGGCAGAGTTTGATGATGAGATTATAGACCAAGTGGTCAGCACCTTCACTGAGATTGGAGACGTCACAGTCGTCAGGTGGGTTTGTGAAACAACATCAATATTGCTGAGTGTGGACTCACTCACTCACTCATGAACAAGACTCATCACTCATGCAGACATTGTTTACAATATTCTTTCTTGAACAGTAATCCAGCCACCAGCAGATTGTGGTCAATGTTGAACTAAGATGAACTAAAATGAAAAAAATGTATCATATCGTTAGGTGTCATTTTGTACTTTTCCTTGTATAAGTTTACAATGTACAATACGTCAGCAGAATGGATGTATCTCATTACCAGTTGTGTAACAGGAATATTTGGTGTCCATTCACACAGGTTTGTGGGCAGTGACATGTGGATCATCTACAAGAGTGGGGACGCTGCCCTTGAGGCCCAGGCTCTGGACCAGCACCAGGTCAATGGAGAGACTATTCGAGTGAGATTGTGCACTCCGGACTGGCGTGATGTCATTGAAAAGGAGCTGAAGATGTGTGCACTCAACACGACAGCTCTCTACAATCAGTTCTCCAACAGTCTGCTGGGAGATGATTTCAGCATGCCTGCCATGGACTATGTCATGGATGATGGTGAGTACCAAGTCAACCCTCATAGCTGATTCAAAATATGTCTAAGCCTCTAGGATGAAGAATGTTGTTGTAGTCTTTCTTACTTTGAAAGGGTGTCCATGAAATGCTTGATTAGCTTGAACCTGGAGCTGATGCCATTTCCTTTAATGGCAGCAACCATGGCTTTGTATGAGGGAGTTATCCTCCTACTGTTAACTGATGTGATGAAATGACAATGTTTAGCTCGACTGATTATTGAGGAAGAGTATATCAAGTGTGTCATTCTTTCTGTAGTCCAGCGGATAATGGCATGATTTGTATGCAATTGTGCATTTTCATGTTACAAGTGAAATTTTAGTTAAAATATTAAGAAAATAATATTCTAACATGTTTCAGATAGGGAGGCACTCAAAAATATGTTTTAATATTTTTGTATTAAGCTCCAAACAAATCTTGTGAAATATTGAGCCACTGTTATTTGTTGTGTGGAAAGTACTAGAAATGAGGTGAAATGAGAGTGATCTCCCCTTTGTTGTGACTTTTGATATTATGTCATCAATCAAGGTTACAATGATGTAATTGGTCAATTAGAGGGAGTTATCCTCCTACTGTTAACTGTTAGTATGTCTGTTGAAATATATGTGATGATATGACAATGTTTAGTTCGACTGATTATTGAGGACGAGTATACCAAGTATATCAAACATCAATTATGAAGTGATATGTTTTCAGTTTATTTCACTATGAGTTGACTTTCCGTTTCTCATGTACCAGACGAGGGTGACTTGCTCACTGGAGATGATGCCACTTTGCCCACTCCCCTTGCGCCACGGTCCAGGAATAGCAGTCCGTCATCTTCAGGTCAGTACTTAGGTCTTTCTGCAGCTGAGTTACAACATGCTCCAATAGACAGTGTTATGCACTTTGTATGTTGGGTGCTGATTTGACCCATTTGATATGTTAACGGTTAAGGCTGTAGGGTTTGCCAAGTTTCGTGTATCATAGGACAATTTTGCGTTCACTGGTCTTGAGGGGGACATGGGCTGATGTACCCTTGATGTTTGTTTATGTTCCCTGAGAAACATTGAGGGTAGATCAACCCATGGGCCCCGAGGGACCAGTGAACAACATATTCATCTTACCGAACATCTCAATGATAATTTTGAACTGTTTGAAGCACGGGTATTGGATCATAGTATTGAGTACCAGACGACAAGATGACAAGAAATACAAATTTAGAGTTATCTCCCTTCCATCAATTTGCATTTGCAAAACATCGGTAGTTTCGGTACATCATACGTGATTCAATGTTATTCGAGATAAAGACTTACTACTACGGAGTACCTAATGAGTTCGCATTCCCAGCGGGGTACATAGAAAATGTTACTCGCTTGTACGCAGGGTACATTGAAAATAATAGAAGAACGCTCAGCCAATCAGAAAACGACATAATATTTCCTTATCCTGACTCATACTTAATTGCTTGTCTCCTTCTTCTTGCGAATGATAGAGAAACACTTGAATCCCCTTTTGAAGCTCCCTTAAAAAAAGCGGACGTAAAATCACTCACCCAGTGTTACCTCCCTTAGGTATTTTGTTGGCAAAATCTGTCACATGACCAAACACGCTCTTCACTCTCTCCTTCTTCGCCCTAGAGGACGGTTGTGAGAGCGCCTGGGTCCCCTATACGGCACTATATCCTTTTATTTTTAGGCCTTTACCACTAAATTAGCTGTATACAGCATTTAAGAAGATATACCAGCGATATGGTTTGAAATATTTGTCTAAATTATCTGTTTATTCACGTTGTTGACATGATATTTCATCTTGTTTACAATTGATGAAAACTTGCAGTCATTGCAGATACCGGTTGTCGGTTGCTGATCCGTATTTATTATGTCCTAATTGCACTTATACATGTTCTTCCAGCTTTCGCTGTCAACTTTGTCAGCATTTATCTGAAATTGAATTTAATAATTATTTATATTCCATTCTTAGATGTGCCAAGGACAGGTCTAGACGGCTTTTACAAGTCATGTCTAAATCGAGTGATTGCGCTGATAACCGTTTATTGCTGTCCTACGGAGCATGTTGCTGTGGCAGATGGAAGCTCCGGCTCCAGGAAGAGGTCATCAATGTCAGTAGTAGCCTCATCGCAGTCTAAGAAGACCAGGGCATCGTCTTCTCAGAAAAAGAAGTTGTCTGCAGATAAGACTTCGGCGAAGTCTTCCCATGGGGCAGCGCAGAAGACGAGGTCCTTCGCTGCAGAGATCATCCCTTCAGACGAAGTAGACGTATATGACGAGCCAACCATCCTCATTCCTGACGTAGCAGTTAAGAAGAAGACGAGATCTTCTTCTACAGTGACGTCAGCAGTCATCTCAATGCAGTCAGACGTTCTATCAACGCAGACATCAGATACCAGAGGCGGCAGTTCTTCACAAGCACAGCGTTCCTTGGAAGAAGCCTCAGCACTTTCAGATGCGTCGTCATCTTTGCAGCAGCAGCAGCTGTCGTCGCAGAATTTCAACCCGGGTATCTTCATGCAGCAGCTTACTCAGCAGATGTTGGACCTGATGGAACGGAGGTTCGCGCAGGAGAAGGCTGCGGCGAAGGCCCTATCTACGTACGAGCCTGCACGAAGGACAAGCAGCCTGCAGATCGCATCCTGTTGAAGATGGTAGCCTGTGTGAAGGAGGGAACCTATGTGAAGGGTCATGCACTCGACGATTGTCCACGGCAACTTCCCCAGAACCTGCCAGCCCTGACAACGATGAATCTGCAGAAGATGTTCCAGAGGAGCCTTCGCGGCAGGAGCAGAACCAGATGTTCACCGGAGCATCGCAGAAGCAGATCATCCTCGACCTCAGATACGGACAGCCATCAGGAGCCTGCATGCATGTACCCCGCATCCCGTAGAAGAGAATCTACACCTTCACGAAGGCACAGAGATACTCCAGGGAGGATCCTTATCTGAACCGGTCACCTGCACGCAGGTCTTCAGGAAGGTCTTCAGGAAGGTCTTCAGGCACATCTTCACCCAGGTCTCCACACAGGTTTCCACGCAGGTCTCCATGCAGATCTCCACGCAGGAAGGAGGCACAACGGCGACGATCTTCAGAAACAGAGGCCTCTAGATCTGAAGATGATGACGGAATCATATTCTCCGATACAGCGATCAAATCTTGGATGGCTAATGGATTGGAACTTGCATCACCTTCTAAAGAGGATAATGAAGCATTCACATATATGATGTCGAACGACGACTTTGAAACACTTACCCTTCCACCCATCGATCCTGTCTCGGATGTACCGGAGAACCTCAGCACAGCCTTCAGGAAGGCAACAAAGTTCCAGAGCCAAAGCTTCCGCCATTCAGCGCCTCACTTCACCACATGGAACCATATCATGAAGGCCCCAGAGATAGATGAGAACTACAAAATCATCAACGACTCCCGACCAAGGACTTATAAAATAGAGGATAAGAAGCTGGCACAACTAGACAAAACTACCAGACCTACCTTCTTTGGTCTAGCCAGGTCAAGAGCCATCAATGAAACCCTCATCACGAAGTTCAGGAACTCGACCTCTGAAGAGGATAGAATGATTTACTCTGCATTGCTGTCCCAAAGAAAGATCATCAGTTTATGTCCAAACATCTGGCATCCACATCAGTGGGCCTGATTGCTGTCTTCCTGCAGTTGGAGTGACGCTTCACCAAGACACTGTACAGAGCTCCGTGGTCAGCATCATCTATCTTCGCAGGGGAAATTGAGGACATGGCCAAAGAAGTTACGAAAGAGTCAAGGGAGGTAATGATGATCAAGTCCATCGATACACTGGCCAGTGTTATCCGTCAGACATGGCAACGCTACTCCGGTAAGTCGAAGTTTACGGGGATACAGAGAGCCAGGGAAAAGAAATACGGCAACTCCAGAGGAGAGCACCCAGAGGTGCCAGGAACTTTAGACGCTGAAGGATGGGTTTGGAACGACTGGAGTCTTCCACCTCCAGCCGTTCCCATACAACCTTCAAAAGTGGGTGGACGTCTGCAACACTACTGGGATGAATTGGGGAATTCTTCAGGACGACTGACGTATCCCAGATCCTATGCAGAGGATACAAGATACAACTACAAGCAGTACCACTGTTGACAAGCAACTCTCTGGCCCACAACTATGCTGCCGACCAGAGGGAGAACCTACTTGATGCCATCACAACTCTACTCGAGAAGGAGGCAGTCGAAGAGATAAAACAGGAGCTCGTCACGCTCGGTTTTTACTCCCCAATCTTCCTGGTACCAAAGAAAAATTCCAGGGAAAAGTTCCGACTCATCTACAACATGAGGAAATTCAACCAAGATTATCTAGGCAGACCCACAAAATTCAGGATGATACACCTTCCTCAATTGCGACAACTCGTTCGTCCGTTAGACTACCTCGCCAGCATAGATCTACAGGACTCTAGGAGATACCTACGATTCCTCTTCAACGGACGTCATTTCCAATTGAAGGTGCTACCATTTGGAATATCATCGGCCCCCTGTTTGTTAACTCGAGTGACAAAGCCCATCATCACATATCTACATCATCAAGGTCTACGCAGTGCGTTTACCTGGACGACGGGATTCAAGCTCATAAAGATCCCAGTCAACTCAGACTGCAATTAGACTTCCCCATCAGGCTGCTCACTCAACTAGGATGGCTAGTAACTCTCCTTAAGTCGGAACTAGAACCCACACAGGATCTTCAATTCCAAGGAATACGGCTCATCACATCGGCGAATCGCATAGTCGTCCCAGAGGAGCGTTGGGTCAAGATACAACACATGATATCTCAAGCACTACTCTCTCCGTTACCACTATGAAGTTGGCAGAGCCTACTTGGTCTTCTCACATCAGCACAAGACATGACACGCAGAGGAAGAGTACAACTGCACCCACTACAAGTGTTTGTGAACGCTCATCTAGACACTGAAACCATATCTTCTATGGTGGACTCGGAAGTCGAATGTTTGCGGAGGAACCTACTTATCAGAGCCGGAGTGCAACACTCATCTCTACGTAGATGCATCACTTCAAGGATGGGGAGTCCACCTCGACAACGAAGTGGCAGTAGGGAAATGGTCGAGTCAGGAGCAGAGTCTGCACATCAACATGCTCGAGATGAATGCAGTAATAAACGCCTTATTACACTGGTCCAGCATACTAAGGAACGCACAACTGATGATCCATATGGACAACTCCACAGTGGCGTTCTACATCAACAAACAAGGATCAACAAGGTCAAGGAATCTTCTAGACCTCAGCTTTCATCTGTTCAGCATAATAGACAACCTGAACATCAACATTAAAGCATGCCACATTCCCGGAGCCAAGAATGTGATAGCAGACGCCCTATCTCTTCCAACACAACCATCCCTGACGGAACCGATGTTACATCCAGAAGCCTTCAGATGCATGATACAGAGGATAGGATCTCCGCTGATAGACCTGTTTGCTACAAAGTTCAACAAACAACTACCAACATTCGTCTCTCTGGTCACGGATCCACAAGCATGGACAACAGATGCTCTAAGCATCTCCTGGGAAGGACTGAACGCTTACGCGTTTCCATCTCCAGCTCTAATACCGCAGGTGTTGCAGAAAATCAAGAAGACGAAGAAGCTGCAACTGATTTTGGTTGTGCCCTACTGGCCAGCGAGGGTGTGGTTTCCCATCCTCATACAAGAACTCGGAAGTCCAACCCTGCAACTCCCAGAGTGGCCGAACCTACTAATTCATCCGCACACCAAGCAAGTACACGGAAATCCAACAGTATTCCAGCTACACGCATGGAGCGTATCAAGACTTGCTTGAAGAAAAGAGGATATTCCGCCAGAGCAGCGAAAGCAGTCACACTAGCTCTATGTAGATCAACCCGCAACTTGTACGATGACAAGTGGCAGAGTTTTGAGAAATATGCATTGAAGAAGGGCTTCATGGCGATGAAGAGCAACACATCCTCAAGTGGCGGAATACCTTTGTCATCTAAGACAAACGAGGCGGTTAAAAGGTTAAAATTTCTCTACATACCTAGCGGCCCTCAGCGCGGTTATCACCATGAAGACGGGTGTTAAGCTGACCAAAGTACCAGAGATACTGGCTCTACTACGCTCCTTTAAGTTGGAAGACCAACAAAAGAAATTTAAAGCGCGCCTGCTTGGGATCTCAACGTAGTCTTGCAGCATCTCACCAGTGACACTTATGAACCACTAGAAAGGACATCCTATGAGTTTTCAACATTCAAAACTCTGTTCTTGATCGCCTTGGCAACAGCAACTCGGATGTCGGAAATACATGCTCTGGTTTTGAACGAATACGATTTGATGCACATCGTAACATCGTACATCTGGGATTGAGATGGGACTTCATAGCAAAGAACAACTGGCCGGTCAACCAGACAGACAGTTCCACATCCCAGCACTCTCGACAGTCTTTGGGCCACAGGATACTCTGGACCTATCCTTATGCCCAGTCAGAGCATTGAAAGTCTACCTACAAAAGGTCTAAGACGAGGAGACGAAAATTCAAGCGCCTTTTCATCCCTCTATCAACGGAGACAGCTACAGAGGTCTCACGTACGACAATATCGATATGGATGAGAGCTGTCATCCTAAGAACCTACAAAGCAGCAGGACTTGAGCCTCAACGAGCCTCCAACCCTCATGAAGTCAGAGCGCTGGCATTGACACTCGCTCTGTTTGGAAACTGCTCCATCTCGACAATAATGGAGGGCTGCTTTTGGAAGTCGGAGATGGTGTTTGCCAACCACTACCTCAGAGACATTGCTACCGAGGACGTCTCCGGCATTCACCAGTTTGGGCCTCTCGTTGTAGCACAACAATTGACGGTTCCTCAAAGGCGCTGAGATGAATGTCACCCTTTTATCACGTGACTTGTAAAAGCCAACGCTCTGAAGAGCTAGAGCTTTAGAGTCCATGCGCCCGTCTAGGACAGGCCAGCATGAGTGACAGACCCTGTACTTGTAAAGGACTTACTCGTACATGAAGAAGGGTCGCTTCTCCACTTGATGCGAGCATCAAGACATGGAGTTGCATAAAATGTACTTTTTTTTATTGAAATTGATATTTTATACTTATCCTGACTCATGAGGTCAGACCTCCCAACCTCCCCTCATGGCATTCTGGATTCCCTGTAATCCGGGTGTCGGGCTCATATTTGGAGAGAGTGAAGAGTGTGTTTGGTCATGTGACAGATTTTGCCGCCAAAATACCTAAGGGAGGTAACACTGGGTGAGTGATTTTATGTCCGATTTTTTGAAGGGAGCTTCAAAAGGGGATTCAAGTGTTCCACTATCATTTGCAAGAAAAAGAAGACAAGCAATTAAGCATGAGTCAGGATAAGTATAAAATATCAATTTTAATCCAAAAATTGCATTATGTGTGAGGCAAGATAATTTCTCATGGACCCTGGGACCAGTCCTTCTCCCATAATTATGTAATGCTGGGAAACTTACTGATTTCACTGTACTTACATCGTCAGCTTTCTACATTCTGAATACATTGACTTCCTCCATCACTTGTTTTGTACAAAATTATCACATGGTGTTGTCATGTCCCCATTGCTATTGATAATCATAACTTCTGTCATTGTGTCTTGCATGTATTGCAGTCAGTGAACTGTATTGGTTACGAATTGACAGCGATTCAAACATCACTCACTTAAACCACTCACTGAAATATCCACCCACCCAGCCACTCACTCAAACCACTCACTGAAATATCCACCCACCCAGCCACTCACTGAAATATCCACCCACCCAGCCACTCAAACCACTCACTGAAATATTCACCCACCCAGCCACTCACCGAAATATCCACCCACCCAGCCACTCACTGAAATATCCACCCACCCAGCCACTCACTCAAACCACTCACTGAAATATCCACCCACCCAGCCACTCACTGAAATATCCACCCACTCAGACATCCATTGTTTGTCACAGGCCGCAACAGCCCCGCTGTACAGGAGGAAATACCAACTGACATCCCTGGAGGACCCCCTAGTGGACCTCCTGCAGGTCCGCCGAGTCGACCCCCAACAGCTCCCTCTCGCCCTGACAAGCCCCCACCCCGCCCCGCAGCTGGTCCCGGTGCTGGTGGGGCAGCTCCAGGTGGGGCGGCGCCAGGTGGGGCAGAAGCTCTCATTGTTCCAGAGCCTGGGGCAAGACTTCGGAGTTCACCATCGCCAGAGGTAGTTTAACTGTGAACATGTTTCAAATGTTCACCTTCTAAAGTGTCTTCATCTGCTTGTAAGCAAATTATTGGGTTCAAATGGACATATGATTGTCAACTTCCAGGTTGTCATCTTACTATGTGTCTATATTTTCTATAACTGAGGATGGACCAGTAACAACTCTGCTTTTGATATGCCAAGTCATTTTCAAAGGAGCTTTCAGTGCTGTTCTGTAGAACCTCACTTAACCCTTTACTTACAAAACCAAGCCCATGGAGGCATGTTCTGTCCTTCACTTAAAACATTGGTTTATTCTTGAGTTGTTGGGATTCAAATTTACAGTTTGTTTTTGTTGATGATGTTGATGATTTCTATAATGGTAAGCTGTAAAGACCCTATTTCATTCATATCATTTGAAATTTACAAGTTTACTTAGAGACTTTTGCAGAATTAACTGCATACAAACTGATGCACATGCAAACCATGATGATGATGACTGTTATACTGGGGCCCACTTGATTTGATGTTTCTCCACTGTTGTACACATGCTTTACTCAGTATGTGTTTTGTATTGGTTACAGATGCCTCGCAAACAGCCTCCACAGAGGCCCGGAGCCCCACCTGCGAAGCCTCCACCTCCACAGCGCCCCCTTGGAGGGCCACCTAAAGGGGCACCTGCTAATCAAGCACCTCCAGGTGAGATGACACAATGTGAAAACTCTAGTCTAGTGTCATCAGACATCTGTGACACATCCTCCTTTGGATGGCTGTCATACAGTTTTTGGTAACTCACTTGAACTTGAAAATTACTAATACAGTTTTTCTTATTTATGTTGTTTGTAACATGACAAGATTATTGGTCCAGTGTGACCTTAAACCTTCGATGACATATGCTTTCTGAAATACCTTTAGTTCCTTCACCTTTAGTTATACACTTCAGCTGTCGAGTCATGCACATGGCTCTCCACTAGGTGTTGACATAGTTGTAATGAATGAAAGCATGCTGGAATCTTTTTTTAAAAATATTTTAAGTGGCATGTAAACTTCAATACAATGACATACATCCACCAAGTCAGCGAGTCTTACCATCTCATCCTGTTAGTCACCACTGACAACACGTATGATCATCTCTGATGACAAGCATGGGTTGCTGAAGACAAATTCTAACCGCATCTTCATTCGTCTATTTAAAGTCACTTTGAAATCTAGTGTGACAGGAGTATTGATGTCTGTTCCTGGCAGGTTCCCCAGGGAGACATGTGGGGAAAGAGGCCCCCAAGATCCGCCAGCCCCTCCGCCCCCCACCCTCAGCCAAGCTGAAGGCCAAGAAGGGAGGTCCCCGTGCGGTAAGCTGGTCTTCTCTGTCTGTTGTTTCTTAGATCTGACTACATTTTGAATTGCACTTCTCAATTTGTGTGGCTAGAAACAAAGAATGCTGTGTGATTTATGTTTCTGTTCATCCATGTTGTCACCATCTTAACAAACCATTTCAAACAGTTTCATGGAGAGAGTCAGATGTTGACGTTAACCAAACCATAAAACAGTTCCTGAGTGCAGCTGTGTGATTTCTACCTTTAGTAGCCCCCCACTAGTGTTTACAGTTTCAGAAACTCAACTTTGGGGCATGGCAATAAAGTATTTGAATTCTGATCTTGATCTGTTGATCAATAACCCAGTGTGTGTTCTATTAACCTCGCATGGCCTCCCTCCTTTTGTAGATCTCCTCTATTGGTCTTCCCACCAACGTAACACATCACACACATGCCAGCAGTATGGAAGAGGCACAGAAATTGATAAGTAACCTGATGGGAGGTAACCAAGGAAACGCGAATGCTAATTTACCAGCGCCCATGATGCCAAGCACCACTCCTGCACCTGTTGGAGGTATGTATAATACTAATGTTTCTCTGTCACACCAAGTACATGGCTCAAAACAACTTGATTAGGTTATTCAAAATCTAAATTTTTCCTTATCCTGACTCATGATCTGAAGCATATAGCATGAGTCAGGATAAGTATAAAATATCAATTTTATCATAAAAATTACATTTTTCAACATCAAATCGTTTAGTTATTAGTAAACAGCAATGAATCATTATTTGCTGAGAACAGAAACCATTTGTGAGGGAAGTATTTATCCACAAGAAATAGAATAACACTGATTGTACAGTTTCACCAGGTTTTCTAGCTGCTATTACTTTTGTTCTTTTTCAGACATGTCTTCCTCCGCTTCAGCTTTGGCTGCACCTACCCCAATCCCTAGAAGTCGGACTGCCCAGGACATGGCAGGTACCGACACCTCCTCCAGTAGTTCCAGCAGCCAGGCACCTCCCAAGCCAATGCCAAGGTTCCGCAGTATGGAGAACTTGTTGTCGGACAAATCCGGCGGTGAGGTCACTACAGCCCCTGTTGCCCGACCCAGGCCAACTCCCAGAAAAGATGTTCAGAGTGCCGTCATTTCTCCAGCCTCAGACCCAGATGATCCCTTCATAGTGAAACCACCGCAGCGACCACTGAGTGCAGTAGGGAGGCCACTGCCTCCTGTACCTAATGGTCCACCACCAACATTTGGATCTCAGTCAGAAGAAACATCTAGTCATAGCAGTGGTCCACCAGTGCAAAGTCATAACATATTAGATGCTCCTTTGTTAGGTGACACCAGCAGTGAGCCTGACCCCTTTGATACAAGTGCAATACCCAAGTTTCTCACTCATGACCCACCTCCTATCCCTGTCCGACCTCCAGATGCATCAACAAGACCCTCAACGGCTGATCCTCCGTGTCCAGACGTCAGTCCACCACCAACTCCTCCAGCCCTCGACACATGTCCGTCTTACCCTGTTGGAGGCCCAGAGAGAAGTAAACCCTTCCAGTCCTCCTCCCCAACACCCCAGGGAGACTGTCCCCAGGAATCCCCACCAGCTCCACCCAGCTGCCCTATGGAACCACCCCCACCTCCACCCAGACTGGATTCATTTCCACCAGATGTTGCCCCCCAGGATTTAGATATGTCCGAAAGCTCAAATATGCCCCCTTCTATACCTCCACCCAATCTTCCCCTTCCCCCTATCCCTGTCCGCCCTGGCCCCCAGATGTTGCCCCACCCCTATGACTGGTCCTCCCCCTGTACCCAGTCGTCCAGCTACAGTACCCCCAGTCCCACCCAGACAGTAGGTGACAGCCGGGTGGGTGAACAAGCAGACTACACACTGGACATGAAGGACCCACTTAAAGTAGATTTTGGCATGCCAGATGCTAGTCACAGATCACTCATGTATAGTATAAGAAGATAGGGTATTTATTTCATCAATAAGACCTGTATTTGTGAATCTAAAGTCAACAGTGTAAGAATTTAGAATGTTCTAAAACCATTCATTGTAAATAGCATGTGGTATTTATTTAACACATTAAATGGATGGTGATGATTTTCTGTTTAGTGCAAATGGATGTTTGAGTAGATGCATCGCTGGTCTTGCCTGTGTGATAATTCCCCCTCCCCCAGCATAATACCACATGTGTAATAGAAGCTGTTACAAGTTGATAGTGCCAGATTTATTATAGAAACTTTGTAGATATTTTTATGTACAGTCTTTTTATACAGCCATTATTGGTTTATATTGTTAATGTGGCATTTTAATGTATGTACTTGTTTTTTACATATATGCAAGTCTGAGTTATCTTGTGAGGAAATCAACATGACATAACAGTTATACAAAGGACAAAGTAGGGTAAGGACTCTTATTGGTCCCCTGGATAGCTTCAAATATTAGTATGAATGTGGCTGACAGCAAACTGTTATTCTTCTTTTAACTCTTGAATTTGAGACTAGATCAGGTATGGCTAATATGGGCCCCAACTATTTGAACAAGAGAATTATGAACAAGTCTGTGACCAAGATGATCCGATGTATCTGACATTGCATCCTCTTCATCTAGACCTGAAGGGGCAGTGGGGTAGCCTAGTGGTTAAAGCGTTCACTTGTCATGCCTGAAGACCCAGGTTCACTTCCCCACATGGGTACAATGTGTGAAGCCCATTTCTGGTGTCCTCCACCTTGATATTGCTGGAATATTGCTAAAAGCGGCGTAAAACCTAACTCACTCACTCTAGACCTGAGAAAAGCAACCAGGGTCAAAGAATTGCTGATGTTCAAATATACAAGGGTAGTAATTCAGCACCAAGCACTGTTTTTTTTTATAATATGCGCTCTCTGAGCATTCCAACATCTACTGTTCCTGTTGTCAAGGTCAATTCCCTCTAGCTCTCACTTAGCAGCTGGGTTAATCTCAAAGGTTTTGGAATCCTATTTTGAATTTTCTGAATTGCATTTTGAATCAGGTGGTGCTAAATTAATGCTTATGTGTATATTTGAAATACACCCCTTGAAACCTTGAGATAGGACATTTAATTCATGTTAGCCTAAATGTTACATTTTCTGTAGTCCACAGGAAACAGACTATAGTCCAATTCTCATTCACATAACACACATGGTTACTTTCAAATAATTTCTTAAAGTTTTGCTTCTATCTCAACTAATGTCAGTTCTGTTGTCCAAAGAAGGTCTTATGATACGTCCACAGGTAGATGAAATCATACAATCACATTATCTGTGCTGAGTGTGCTGTGATGCTTAGTATTTAATAGCTCCTACTCATTGCTAATGCACGGTCTCCTCTCTTGCCAGTACTATCAGCTTTGTCACCAGGACACACATATGGCACAGTAAACGAACATGGTTACGGACGACAGCTAAATTAATTCCTGATAAAGTTTACCAGAACACACATTTACATGGCTGGTACGGGCCTGCTTATTTAACTATGTTCTACAGTGTTCAGTGCTATTCTGTGTGCAGCTTCTCACAGTTGACAATCTGTGATATTCTTGTTTGTTTTCTGGAGTTATTTGGTCCATGTGAATCTCATCTGTGTGTAATTAGAACCCCATCCACACAATACTGAAGGTTGTATTGTGTTTGGATGCATTAGGAACAGCCATGTCCATCTCACATTCCACAGAGTAATGGACCACTTGCCCATTACACGGCTAGCTAGTCTTCATTTCAAACAAGTACTGGTATGTGAATTAATTAAGCAATTAAAGTGTTGATGCAAAGAAAAAGCTTTAATTCCCACCATGTTCCTTTTTAATGTAGAGTTGTTTCCCTTTTGTATGCCAGAATCCTACAATATTGAATGTGGTGAACATATATGACCTGCTTTAATTTTGCTTATAATAACTCAGTCATTGGAAATGAACCTGTGATGAAGTATTCAGTCGTGTTAAAGCCCAATTCACTCCCTCAAATCAGACCTTTCCAACTCACTCTCATAATGACAATGTTCCTTGTGTTGTGACCAACTGGGGCTAACCCAATCAACTTTGGTGCTTTTCATGTTTGGATCTCCACCTAAAATATCATGGAATGGATGTCCATATGGAGTTCTCCTGTGCCCCATTATCAAGTCTGGATCTTTTTAGAGATTTGTGGAGCCCCCCCTCCAATCAAGACTGGATCTCTATATATAGTCACCCCCTACTCTTCATTGTCCATCTGAAGCTTTACTGGAGGTGTCGACTGCAAGCATAATCAGTGGGGATCAATAACACTGGCATACTCTCCCTCCAAACAGTTTTTATGAATGTAATTCGCTTACTTTCTTGATTTTCTGACCGAAGTATTCCCACTCTAATATGCTTATGTAAGTTTTCACACAACCTATTCAAACATGTGTGTTATTCCCAAACACACAACACATGTAATTGATGCCACAATTTAGCATCTGTCGATGTTGATTTAGAGCAACATGTTGTCCGTTTAGTGTAGCAGCCATCTTGATTGGTGTGTAATAGTTACACTGGCCTGTTGACATTTTACCAGTTCAGGGGTGGAAATAACTTTAAAATTGCTAGTGTACTCAGGTACAGTGGCACATGTAAAATCACTTGCCCTGATAATTCTTCCACTATACCGGCTGATTTTCTTGTTGATTTTTTAAATAAACAACATAATTAACATTGGAAAGTCAACTGGACACCGGTACAGTGTGACATACAAATTTGCTAGCCCGACAGAAAAAACCCACTGGACTGGGGCATCGGGCAATGGGTTATTTCCACCCCTGCAGTAGTTTTAGAACTATCACTGAGAGTATTGGAGCAAGCACACCTGGAAACTACTTGACAAGCAAGTGGGACATCACAGGCATGTAGTATATACCACAGTTCTACCATACAGGCCGATATACAACTGGTTCTCTTGACATGCAAGAAACTGATGGCGTCCTTTTGGTTTCATGTTGAATAATGATGGAAAATGAGTGCTTCTAGGGTTATGAATTTGGCTGCGGCCGAGGGTATGAAAACCTTGGTGTTTGTTGGTGTGGAGAAGCCAACATCTGTGGTTTTGTTGGCATTATCTAGTCTTTCATGTTCTGTGGAGAAAACATTCCATGCCTCCTGACAGTATTGTTGTTTGTTGACTGTGTTGATGTACATAGCCTTCTAGGAAGCACATGGTAGCCACATAATAAACCAAGTCAAACATTCACCTGGCTTCATTCATCTGTCACTGAAGGCTTCACATTAGTAAATGCATGGAAAGAGGGGAAATAAGCATTCCATTTTGTTGACATGTGATCGCCCAGCTACAATAAATATGACATTTAGTGAAACAAATTATATATACGTATCCATTTTCTGTCAACTACATCATTTCGAGGCGTGAGTAGATGTAATATGATTTCTGTGAAAAATGTGGATCGAAGTTATAATTATCTGTAACTGCCAGTTGTCTTGTGGTCTGTCATGATTAGGACCCCATCACAGGGATCGCCTTATAAGTACGAAACATACCATTTTGATACTGATTTTAAGGGTAAAGTTACGGGGTTAGCCTATCTCTGAGATCGACTTATCTACGGTAATATACAGTATGCCACTCAAGGTTGAGAACCATCTAATTCTTTGATGTTACTTTTGTTAATCATGGTTAGAACCTGTGACACTTCTCTAAACACAGGAGGTTTCAGTCAAAATAATGCCTTCCTGTCATCTTTCACTTCTGAAAGAAAGAGAAAGCTTGGCTTGAGATACTACCATGTGAACTGAAGTGTATTTCCAAAATATCTTCTAAAAAAAACCAACCAATTTATAACATAACCAAACACAGAAATATGGAGAAAGTCACTAAATGACAAAATATGACCCAGAGCAGGTGAACATAACTCCCATACAGTGACATTGTGACTCTACATCGCGAATATCAAGCTGTAGATTGTAACTAGAATGGTGTTTGTATTGCATTCCAAAACACAAGTCCTCATCCCCCACCATTTCTGAATGCCCCATTTCTTCCCATCAGAAAAGAGTATCCTGGACTACCTTGACTTCACATCAGGTGCCCAATATGCATGTTCAGTGCCCCGGTTTTACAGTACCAGCAAACTGATGATGATGCAGACTTGTTTTCTGACATCATGCTGTAGTTTATAATGGATGACACTTGGCACACGGCTCACCAAGTGTCCTCTTTGTTTTATAATATGATATGACCAGGGACTCGAACCACCAACCTTCCACTAGGTCAAGATGGTCCCTACAACAAGATACTGTGGCTGGTAGACATGTGCGTTCTTTGTTCACAAAGACAAACAAGAGTCAAATCTCCCCACCATTCCCCTTTGAGACTAAGTCCGAATCGTTTCCATGGAAACCTGGGAAAATAAATATGCCAAAAATCTGCAAATGCTTGACTTAAGGTTCTGTTTGATATATCTACCAAGTTCTGTTGAAAACTATTGAACGGTTCTTGAATTATGCTCCGGAAACAAAATGATCACGGACGGACGAGGCGTCGACTATATGCCCCCGCATTACATGCCGGGGGATAAAAAAGGCTATGGCTCACTACTTAAAGGTCACATAAACCCTAGGGGGTAAAAATACATAAATCACTAACTGGCATCGTTATAAATGAAACCCCGTCATTAAAACTACTCATTTCGACCTTTAATTGACTTAAATCGACCTTTTTGACAACAGTGCACAATTCTCACCCGCGAACGAAATTTCAACCAATCAGAGCGGCGCGACTCTGTGACGTCATATGAGGAATAGCTTTGAGGGCCGATGCAGAATTCATCTACATTTTAGGGGTAAATTATCTTGTTTACAGGCTTGTATAAACCTGAAATCGTGACAATTGTTGTGGAAAATGAAAGCTATATGTTCTCACAATCTACTGTCATTTAATTTTGTCTCCTGCTTTGCCTAGTTTCCGAGTTACAACTTGTTTTCATAGACGCTTCTGTCACAATTGATTGGTGTCGTTAGGCCCTATTTGTATAATGACTGATCCAAATTGATCCCATTTCTGTGTTTTTTTGCCTCGATATTTAATCATGTCATTTAAAAATCTGTTTGTATTCTCAAAACAGTGTCGGCCCATAAGTTTTCACATGCAATACAGCAATTAATACTCCCTTGTTGTAACCCGTGTTAGGTGGTATAAACCTACACATGTTATTTGTCATCATTCACTTGATGGTCAGTTAATGAATTTATAACAGGTATAATTAGTGGTAACACACTTAGATTACCCGACAAAGGTTCCCATTTGGCATTTCTTGTGTCTGGAGTAGATATTCAATATTATAAACATCGATCAAAGGATTAACCGATAACATGCTGATTGATTAATTACTTTTATCTTACACAGCGGAATTGTCAAAAGGTAGTGTTTATGTATGTAGATTTACTAATCTATACTGAATACACTCTGCCGTGTCGGTGTCTGCGTAAAAACAACGTCCTTCTTTCAAAGGATTAACCGGCAATACATTGATTGATTGCCCATTATTGGCTAACTAAATTACTGTTTTAAATGAAAGGCGGACATTATGCAATTAGTTGCCAGGTGTGCTATCTTGGGTGACCAATGAGACTATACACCAATACCTGAAAAGATTTATCACTTTTTCGTATATTAAACTGTTAAAAGACACATCATTTGGAACAGTTTTGTGGATATTGATGGATACATTCCTCAAACAAGGTACTGGCCTGATATTGTTCCTATAACTTTAATCTGTTTTAATTTTAATATTTGCATTTTGTTTTTTATTCATTTGTCGTAGCATTCAACAGAATCATTGTTTTCGCCGTGAAGTGTAATGAGACAGACAACATACACTAGGGTGTGTGTGCGAATTATGATTCACATTGGCAAACTATAAAATGTCTAGATATTACAGTTCTGTTATAAATTCACTATAAGTATCAGCAGATAGTCAGCTTTTTATTTAGTTTCAAAATGCATAAAAGTATGATAATAAACTAATTAGGATTATAAGACCAAATATAAAGACGCACATTGACTAGTATCTACATACTGGTGAGTGGACATTAACCATGTGAATGTAGCAAGAAATTTATCGCGCAGTATTGTGACTTCGACCCCCACCTCGCTTCCGTGGAACAAATCGTTATGTTATAAGTTGTGTCATGCAAAATCCTTTTGGTTATAATTCCAATACATATTTAACTACGAGTAGAAAGTAGTTTTGATTTTCTAACTTGATGAAAACAAACTATAATCTCATTAATTCTAACAGACTTTACGATTTTCAAAAATGGCGGCGCCCTGTCGGGAACATCCGCCAGTCTGTGGATAAATGCTATTCAGGTTTGTTTTCACCGAGTTACAAAATCAAAACTACACTCTACTGGTAGTAAAATATGTATTTGATTGATGGCCAATAGGATTTTGCATGACATAGCGTATAACATAACAATTTCTCTCCTGGCAGCGAGGTGGGTGTCAATATAATACTACTTACAATATTATTGTTACTTCGACCACAACCTCACTTCCGAGGAAGAAATCGTTATGTTACAAGTTGTGTTATGGAAAATCTTTATGGTCATCAATCATGTACATATTTTACTATAACTAGTAAGTAGTTTTGATTCTGTAACTTCCGTGAAGCGATCTGAACACAAGTAAGATATCGTTTCAGGCTTCCACAACGCTCTCTTCGCACTCACAAACATAACCCATTTAGCACGAATTGCGGGGTCCTGTGGAAATCTGTGCATGGTGACACCATCACCCGACCCCTAGGATCAATTGACGACAAAGCAACGATTCGGCATGTCGTCGTTCATGTCGAGAAATCATCAAAATGATGAGCGTGCTACACACTTTCTATACAACTAACTGAAAATCGTTCCTCATATGACGTCACTGCAGTGCTCTGGCGACAGAGTTACGTAACCTGTCTGTGGTTTCGTTGGCGGGCGAGAGGGAAGCAGGCGACTTTTTGGCCACTTTTAATCGCTCGGTATTAATTAACCACAAGTTTTTAAAGAATAAATTTGGTGTTCCGCATAAGACTAACCACAAATCTTTCATATGTAATGGTTAAAAGAGTAACAAAAAACAAAGTTTAGTGGTTCTTTAAGTCAGGTAATCAGGACCACACCACTCTTAACCATAGGCCTCCTCAGTCCTTAATCATCATGTAGTGGTAGGCATTGGCTTAACCAGGCACAATACACCAAGAGTGTAGAGTCTAATACAGATGCCACTGATAGCTAAATTAATCAGAGATGCACCCTTCATAAACAATTGAAAGTATTAGTTCAGGGATGAATATCCACAAAATGATTGAAGAGAGTGTTTAAATTTCAGGAGCACAATCATGAGATTTCACTTGCATGCTGGTGCCACCACTTCATGTTCAGGATGTATTCCATGGACAACAGAGATACAGGACTTTCATGTAAATTCATTTTAATCAACAATCCATCAACAGTGAAGTCTTTCTGACACATATTTTGTTTTAATAGTTATTTCTATTTTACCTACAGTATCCAGTCTTTATTTCTTGCTGTAATGTCGGCCATAGGCCCATAATTACAACAATGGTTACAGGCTTTCCCTTGGTTGATGTACAGCAAATAACCACAGATGAGATGTACAATGAGGAAGGTGCGGAACGTTTTACATCTGCATAGTAAATATACATAGCATTATTTCTAATAACTTCAATATTTGCTGATGACATTAACATATTAAATTAGTGTAAAGATGGATACCTGCAAAACTTTTCTGCAATATATCTAATCTTTAAGTCATTATAATAATCACACACTAACAAAAATGGTATTCATTTTCAATACATTGTCTGTTACAATATTTACAAATACAGTATCAGAGAGAAACAATTTTGTGTTCTCGTGGAGATGCTGTCGTTTTCAGATTGTGGCCTCAATAGTTCATCACACCCTTATTGCACAGTTTCCTTGACAGCACTTCAGTATGTTCTGCCAAACACTAATGGTCCATCAGTAATACCACCAACAACCCCGTCTCCTGTCATGGCATTATGGAACGTGTCTTTAATGCCCCTGTTTTGCAGCGCTAACATTGGTCAAGGCCATGCTGCATTCGAAGTTGTTTATCTTGTTTCTTTGCCTTCAACTGCCACAATACCATGTTATGTTTACTTTCAATTCTCTTCATCAACTCTGAAGCTGGGAGTGATGATTTATTATATCCATCAATAGAGGCCACATTGGCACCTTTGAAGGAGTCACAAGTACTCTGGATGAGGGGAGGAAGCTTCTGTGGCCGCAGCCCAGCTCTTCTTGGTTTTGATGCCTTGCTTCCATTCTTCCCCCCGTTTTCTCCAAGCTCACTGCTCTCTACACTGCAGACAAATAACATTTCACTCAGTTCCATTTTGGAATGAACAATATTGGCCAAATAACATGTGATTATAGGCATTATGAAAGCTTGTCGGTGTGTTAAAATTAGAGACTGCAGGGTGATAGTCTCAATGTGACAAAGCTGATTTTCCCCTGCTCTTTATGATGTTTGCTTTTGTTTTACACTGCAGTTTTACTTCTGCTATATCACAATTACCTCTAGATAAAGTCAGTCACTGAAAGAATCAGCAATGTCCTGCATGACATTACGTCACACAATCTGTCAAGCAACAGTTTGACCACCTGAACCTGTTAAGTCACTTGTGCAACTAACAATGGGGGAATGGGCTTTGGGGAACACTAGATGATGGGGGGACTGAACACTAGATGATGGGGGACTGAACACTAGATGATGGGGGACTGAACACTAGATGATGGGGGGGACTGAACACTAGATGATGGGGGACTGAACACTAGATGATGGGGGGACTGAACACTAGATGATGGGGGGACTGAACACTAGATGATGATGGGGACTGAACACTAGATGATAGGGCTAAACACTAGATGATGGGGGACTGAACACTAGATGATGGGGGGGGACTGAACACTACTAGATGATGGGGGGGGACTGAACACTAGATGATGGGGGACTGGGGACTGAACACTAGAACACTAGATGATGGGGGGACTGAACACTAGATGGCGGACACTGAACACTGGATGGCAGGGGACTAAACACAAGCGACATGTTTGATTCACTGTTGCCAATGCAATACCACTAGTTACAAATTTCACCTTCAACTTGCCTAGCTGATGACTTCTTTTTTTTCTTCTTCTTCTTCTTGGTTTTCTCTGTAGCCTTTTCCTGTATTTCCTTCTCAGTCTCTTTTTCCTCCCTCTTCCTCTTCTTGTCCTTCTTCTTCTCCGTTTGCTCCTCCTCCTCACCTACTGTCTTGTCATCACCAGGTGAGTCGGCTGTCTCGGAGTGCTTCCTTCTACACTTTTTGCTTTTCTTTTTCTTAGGCTCAACATCACAACTGCCTAAATTACTATGTTCTATATGCATATCTGAATTATTATTCTCAGTTTCTTCTATATCTAAGTCCTTAGTTTTTCGTTTGGACTTCTTATTTTTCTTCCGACAGTGAGAGTCAGCTGCTGACTCTGCTGGCTGTTCTATAGTATCTGATTCTAGTCCACATTTATCTTCCCTTGATGGTGATGACGTCTGACCCTTCATGGCAGCCATCTTTTTGGCAAAATATTCTTGCATTGTAGAGGTGCTGTTTATGGTATTGAACCCATGTGACATGTCAGCCTTCGATTCTTCAGACCCTGAGGATTCCTACAAAAAATAAATAATATACGCTTACTGTAAGAGTCTTTGTCATGTTCATTTATAAATGCATTCCCAAATAAAACTGAAAGTAAATGACTTCACAAATTAAAGTCACTGAGAAGTCCATGCTTAACTTGTGACTTTCTGAAATATTTTATGCATTCATCTCAATGTTAATGAGACATTACTGCTTCGTACAAAATATTCTTCAGAAAAATCTTACACATTATCCTCTTACAATTTCTTCTGATTTGTTTCTATGGAAATATAGTAAATCTTATCAAATCTAAGTTCAATAATGTAAATGAAAATGTGAAACATCCCAAGCTCTAAAAGGTGTCACTTCACATTAATACATTCACAAAGATTCCAGAGGAAATGTTGGATTTTTCAGTAATACTCAAAACACTAGCCTGTAAAATGGCTTACAGAGTGTGTTTGCATACTACATGTAAAATGTGAAATGTGTCCCTTTCACTGGTAGTAACTCACACTTGATTCAAGTGCTGGAGAGTTCTTTCCAGAGGTAGGTTTGGCTGCACGTTTACCAAATATACATTTGAGATCTTCATGTGATCTTGATGACAGATCTTTGCCCTTCGTGAACTTGCTGTAACTGCAAAGTAAATTTATGACCTTTGTAAATGAATAGCCCACTGCAACCCCACACCTAACATCACAATCATGAGTAACACCACTTACTTTGTTACCCTTTTAAAATAAAGAAAATATTCAAGGGAAGAGAAGGTTGGTTGCTTTGTTGTTTAACGCCACACTCAGAAATATTCTAGCTATATGGTGGCGGTCTGTAAATAATCAAATCTGGACCAGACAGTCCAGTGATCAACAGCATGAGTATCAATCTACACAATTGGGATATGACATATGTTAACCAAGTCTGAGTCTGACCACCCGACCCCGTTAGTCGCCTCTTACGACAAGGGTTGCTGAAGACCAATTCTAAACCGGATCTTCAGGGGTCGGAAGAGGAGGAGAGAGGGAATGTTCATACAAGAAAAAAAAAGGGAGAGAAATAAGCTTAGAAAAACACCATTTTTGTTGTTGGGAATTTTATGGTTGTATGAACTTTGATGAAATTAATTCAATCCATGAGACATTCCTTCACATAAGTTGGGAGTGAGTCTGAAGTACAACACTGCTAGGCAGCATCTCAGTATTCCCCTAAAGAAACACCTGAATACATACATCTATGAAGACTGCCGCAGTTACTCAGATTACATACTGTACTCTGCTTCGCGATGACTGGGACTTCTTCTCGAGACTGGCCACCTGGTGAGCGACAGGGGAATCCACCTCCCCTCCTCCATGACCCTCATTCAGTGTCTCTAGCAAGCTGTTGAAGTCATCCTGGTGAGCTATCCAGTTGTCTGCTTGGTTCTTGTTAGACCCAACTCCTGCAACACAAACACTGTGACATTTTAGGATGTATTCCAACACGTTAGCCCCAACTCCTACAACACGCACACAGAGACAACCTGACAGATGCAGTCCAGTTATTTGCAGAAATTCACCAATCACTGAATCAATACCAAGTCAGACAAGTTATAATGAGTATGTTGTTTCAGGAAATTTAAAACAAACAGGGTATGTACACACAAATGTATGGTAGCTTTTGACTATATCACCGGAAATACATGCGTGAATCAAAGGTGTATTAAAAATGTCTACTATATTTTAATTAAAAATCTGACTAATAACTGCTAATGCAATGTCGACATTCAGTTTTACGCTGTTTTCAGAAATGTTCCAGCATATCTTGTTGACTGGAATGGGGAACACCAAAAAAGGATTCACACCCATTTTATGAAAACAATTCTTCATGATTATAATTACTTTCTCATATCTTTCAGTCACTTATCGCCATTACTTTCACATACCCTTCTGGTCATTTTTAAAGCTTATTTTCACATGTTCAACTTGGCCATTTTCTTTAGCTCCCAGGCCTTTGCCCTTAGACCAACCCATTCTCTCCAACATTTTCTGGCCAAATTTGCTGTCATCTGCAAAAGAAAATAAATATTAAATATGCTGCTTCATGCATAAAGATCATACTTTATGTTTGTCCTAGTATGACATTAATCTAGCAGATACCCTATGGTTTCTTCAACATCAGACGTACGCTAACTGTACTATTTGTGTTGACAGGTTGGGTCCTTATGGCAGTCACTGAGCAGTGTGTCCATGAAAGCTGTGGGCAGTGCAGTGTCCTCCTGGTGGCAGTCCATCACACCCCTCATCACCTTCTCCCAGCCCTTAGCCAGTGCTGAAGAAACTCCTATCACCTTCACACTCCCTGTGTCTAAGGAGGACCAAGCCTGCAGCCAGACCCTCATCACAGAGGACATTCTTTGCAGCTACTCGGGAAAACCATGTCAGAGTGTTATGACATACACGCAGCCACTGGAGAGACATGGAAAGTCTCCATCATACACAAGGCCATCTACTGATGATGTTGTCGAGACCTACAGTGACCCTCTAGAATATCCCATCAATAACATCACTGACATCTCACCACTCCCTGAAGTTGATACACACTGCTCGTCAACTGGAGAACACTTTACAACCTGTGTTCAGCCTTTGCCCAGTTCTGAGATTCAGACATCCACTTCACATTCCCTCTGGGCTAAGGATGATGATGTTCACTTTCAAGGAACCTTGAATGGTTCTAGTGATGACACTCAAATGCCATGTAGGGCCAAGCAATACACCAGCAGCAACACTGACCAAGCTCCACAAATAGTACCAATAAATGAAACCAGACCATGCATCCAGATCTCTCACAAAACTACAAGCTCCTTCGAAACCGAGGTCCAACAAAGTGCATCTCCAACAGAAAGTACCAATAGTCCACAGGTTCTACTGAGATGTAATACTGGGATCAAATGTTGTTGCTCCACAGCATGTTCCAAGCAAAGCCAGCATACTGTTTGCCTTGATGGTCACTTCCAGCACACCATTGCCAAACACGAAGGAAAAGTCTTGGTTCTGCCTCAACACCTACCAGACTCGACTACCATTATGCAACTGTCCCACAGCACACAGGCCATGCTCAAAGCTGGGCCTCCCTGTCCAAACTGGGCCCCAGGCCAACAGGTCCTCACACCCCCAGGAGCAGCGTCTCCATACACTCAACCATCAACTCACCCATATCAATCCCTTGCTGCCATAATGCCTGGTATATGTGATCCATGTACTTCATTATCACTTACTGGGGGTAGATTCACCAACTGTATTCAGATCAAATATTCACATACAAAACATTCAAAAGTCATGCCATGTCCTCAACTGCTGCAGAAGAAAGCTGGTGTGTTGATGACTGACATTCAAGCAATACTAGAAGCTCAAACTTTATATCATCTGGATGAAGCCACTTTCAAAGTTATCGAAGGCCTTGTTCCCTTCACACCCTGGATTGAACAGCTGCTAAACCCAACAACACAGCAAACAAGAGCTGTCACACCTTTTATACAACTTCAGCCATATGCTGAAAGGAAACTCAAAACATTCAAGAGCACCAAATTATCTTTTGGAGCTGAATGGTCAGTAGAAAGCATGAAAGTAATGGACAGTGGTAGGAAAAGTTTCAATCTGTCAACTTTGATCCATGCTGCTTCCAGTCAATGGACACAGCCGGAGGAATCATCAGAGAAGACACAAGGACACTTTGTGTTAGGCAAGGTAAGGTCAAGCGTTAAGTGAATGGTATTTTAAGTCTCCATAATTATTTCAGTTGTGTGAGTGTGTGTGTGTGTGTGTGTGTGTGTGTGTGTGTGTGGGGGAGGGCTTTGATGACTGCATGTGAGGGAAAATACACAAACAAAACAAAATATCTTTGGATATTTTCTCAATGAAAGATAAACATATCACAACATATAATTAATCTAAATGTGTGGACTTGTCCGAAATGAAATACTAGTAGATATAAAACATATGAGTGGACTGCATAAGATGTGACGATGTGACAGGGATTATAGACTGGCCATATCAAACTCTGTCCAGGATTTTTGGCTTCATATCACCAAGGCATACTTACATTGTAAACTTGGGTTTGCTAAACACTTGCCACTAACATAATAAAGCATACAATAAGTATTTTAGAACTTGTCTGCAAGAAATAGGTTTTTACTTCACTCTGCCTCTGCAGTGTCGGCTTCATTTTGCAGAGTTGTACATGTATTTAGTTGGAGAATTTAATCTGGCATTAACTGAAAGTGTGATGTCGCACTCCAAAATAATTCATGAATGATATAAAGCAAACCGAACCATCTATGTAGTGTCCCTTTAACTTGAAATAACTATCGTTTTCATCTTGTATTGTACAGGTAATATGAACAATAGATTATGTTTTACACTGTCAACTCAAATCGAAATATGACCCAAACAGCCTATTTATTCAGATAAGAGGAAATAGTTTGTAATATTGCTTTAGTTACATTTCACTCTCATGTGCAGGCGACATTTTACTGTTTATAAGTTACACACAAACTGCACATTGAACAGATGCTGACAGATGCAGTTTTTTCACAGCAAGGCACTATCTGATTAGGAAATTTTAAAACCTGGAAAGTGAATTTCTTTCTTTAAACGTCCGTGATCACATGTTTCCCTCAGATATTTTGAAAGTCTATTGATCCTAGAATACATTAAAAATCAATTCTTCACTGATACATTGTGTGATTTATTCATCGCTTTTAGCAATATTCCAGCAATATCACGGCGGGGGACACCAGAAATGGGCTTCACTCATTGTACCCATGTGGGGACTCGAACCCGGGTCTTCGGCGTGACGAGCCAACGCTTTAACCACTAGACTACCCCACCGCCCGAACTCTTTACTGGAAGTACTCGTAGTTTCACACCCTAGCTTTACGAGCACAACTTCGGTTAAATGAAAACAAACAAAAATTAGTGTTTGTCACTGTTTTCATCATTCTTTGACCATATTTAGGTTGTAACAGCAAAATATAAGCTACAATCTTTTGTTTTGAGATGTACATATAAAGTTAATAGCAACAAATAACTGGAGCATAGAAGAAGCAAAGGGAGGTAACTTGATTGACATTTCATCTGCTCACAGAAAACTGACACTAAGCCTAAACTCTTTAGAACTATTACTTCTTCAAGATGACACTGTTATCGGACTATTTCTTTTGTTTATGATACTATCCAAGATGACACTGTTTAAATATTTATAACAACTATTGGACTATTTATTTTAATTTATTTTATATTATCTGTGTAATTACAGAGGACAAGTTTGACATGCTTATGGCCACATTGGGACTATTGTCTTGATATATATCTGATGGTAACCCAATGTATATTAATACAATGTATATTGAATTCTGAACATTTTTTAAAGTTAAAATATTTTTCCCTTGATGCTTTCATGCCATAGATGAGAAACCATATCCAAGTGATAAATTTAAATAAAAAGAACAGACTAAATTATTCAAACATGTGTAGGAAAATTAATCTGAAACTGAATTTAGATTTAAACTATTAAATAGATCATGTTTTCGATATTTAATGTGTTTTGTTTGTTTCCAGTTTGTAATGTTACTTGATTTATAAATTTAAAAAAAAATGGTAAAGCTCTTTTCCTCATTTCACTGGTTCCGTCTATTTGCATTATTCTTCAGAAAAGTATGAAATATAAATTCAGAAGGTGCTTTCCAACGTTCAAATAGTTTGCCCTAATGTTCCTGAAGTTTGGAACATATTTATGGTGAAGGGTTTTGATGGAAAATCTCAACAGTAACCTTACAGGAGCTGGGGTCACTTTTTGAGAAATAAGAAAATTGGCCTCATTTGCATACATAAAATCAACTACTTTGTCTCTTAATTACAACAAACCTAGGTGAGATTAAATGACAAATTCATTGGTTTTTCATTATTAATATGCAGGGGAAGCAATATACATTGAAAAAAATATTTAGAAATTTTTGCTTGCTCTAAGCTACTGAAAGGATTGCAACAGTAAGATGAGCCTGGCAAACCTAACTCTTGCCTTTTATATACGTATCAATAAACAAACAAAAACACTTTGTACTTTGCTTAACATTAAGGCTGAATGGGTCGTTGTCGGCATATATACAGATATGTACCCTGGCCATAATGAGAATACAGAAACGTAACCTAGGACGATTCCATTCCCATTGTGTCGTATTCTTGATCGGAACTGTCATGCTGTTGTATTGGATACATTTGATTGCTTTATGTAAGTAATGAGAATACACAGTAACGGATATTTCGCGATAGTGAATACCACTCGCAATCAGTTGAACGGGAACAACTACATGCGGTGTCGGTTTTGGATTGCGGAATATGGACTCGTCCGCCTTTTAGGGTACCGGGTACGTTTCTGTATTTTGACTTTGTTTAGGGTTCATATCTGTATACAGAAACGTACCTGGGGTACGTATCTGTAGTACCTGTGCCGACAACGACCCCCCACCTTCAGCAATATTAAACCATTGCCCATGTTTGACCACGTGGTCATATGCCTGTGGTAGTTTTCTCGACCAGTGTTTACTGGTTGTCGCATCATTCATGAAAAAAGCAAAACTCCTCAAACAGAGTATTTGATCAAAATTACACACCATTACTCCAATTTGTCCCTTGAGGATTTATCGATATTTTTTGTTTACGTCGAGGTTCAGCCAACATCGCCATTTTGAACGGAAGTAGTTTTCCGTACCTTCAGAGTAACGATTGAAAGGATTGGTGTACTTCTTGGTTGTTGTCCAATCAAATCACGTGTAACAATTACAAAGGTCAAAGTTGAGGTCAAAGTTGAATACATGCATGCTCATGTCTTTTCCAATGGCGGGTATCACAGCCAATCAAAACCATTTTCTTAAGAATCAACCAATCAGCTTTGACGCACTCACAACAACTGAGAACAGGCAAATTTGAAATGACGACAACCAGAGAGTGGCAAGGGATAGATTGAGTATTTCGAATTGTTGAGAGGTAGAAATTAATTGAAGAGCGAAAAGGTTGTTGCCCTAAGTCCAGAATGAGTAGTGCAGCAAGAAAAGACGATGGACGCTCTAAAGACGTAGTACCAGAAATTTTAGTAGACCCAAGTGGAAAGCGGTACATGAAGGGAAGGTTTCTAGGCAAGGTATGAACCTGTTCAGACACGTTTCTGTGCTAATGTTATTGCTCAGTCGACTGATAATGTGTTCAATAATAAGCGTTGCAAGTACGATCACTTTGAATGTGTGTTACCATCTTCGACGAAATATATCGTTATGTAGTCCAATGACATAGCAAGTGATTTAAATTCAACAATCGTTAGCCTTTACCACAGACACCATTTTATGTTTCAAAGGCTTTTAAAAACAATATATTTTCTAGCTCTTGCAATCTTTGGAAACTTACTCAGTTATTGTAAATATTAATGTCACTTCTTGCAATTATGGAAACAATGTAAATATGAAATGTTGTGGATCACTGAACATTGCCTTATGATTCAAATATAATCGGTGAATATTTTATGATCCATGGGCATATTAAATACCTACTGTATCCTATTAATGTGAGCAACATATAAATTGTTTTACAATGTAAACTGCTGTTCTATCCAAATTTGGATTTTGTAGATCATCTATGATCTATCATCACACATCACCTCACACACTCCCAAAAATATAGATTGTTACTTACGTGATCAAGTGTTGGTTTGTGTAGCAAAGACTTGAACATCATGTACTATGTTTTCTTGTTGCCTTAAGTAAAGCTCCGATATTTTGTTCCAGTAGCAAAACAACATTCATAAACATTGTCCCTGATCTCATCAAACACATGCTCTTTGTTCAAATCACATATTTTGAATCAAGACTTGAATACTGTCACCTTACACTAATATATAGTCTTGTGAACATAAAAACTTTTCTGGATTTCATCTTTTTATTCTTTGATACAACAGGGCCTGTTCCAAACCCGAAATGTATAAAAGAATAAAAAGATGAAATCCAGAAAATTCTTTGTTTATCAAATTGCATCTTCTAAAATGCCTATCAAGCCTCTTATATAGACTTTCTAGATAATATGAACCGTTACATACAATGTACATTAGTCAAGTGCATTTGGGTACAATGTTCATGGTATGACAGTTTATGTAAACATCCTATATTAGTTTCTATTTTTGTTATATAATATAGCGTGAATTTAGTTGAAAGAAGATTCATGAAGTTTTGTGTTTTAGGGAGGCTTTGCAAAATGTTACGAATTAACAGACTTGGACTCGAAGGAGGTGTTCGCTGGGAAGATTGTGTCCAAATCTCTCCTGGTGAAACAACATCAAAAAGACAAGGTTTGTTGATTTTCATACACGTTTCAAACAATGCTAACTTAAAAGCACATTAGCATACTAAGGTAAACCTGAAAACAAGTTAACATACTAAATTCACAAACTATTATAGTGATTTGACTATACCTGTTTAGATGGTGACATTTGGCAATAAATCTGCAGGATATTCTGACATTTAGAATTAAACATTTCCCAGTTCATGTTATGTTCATGACGTATATCATCATGGGCTTGTAGACGGGTCTTGTATTTTGCTGATTTCGCTGGAGTCAGTCTTTAAAGCTCAGTTTAACATTATTAAATTGAATGCAATGGTACTTGGAAAAATTAAAACTTTAAATTTTTTTACAGTATTGAATTAACTAACAATATTTGCCTGTCAAGGGAGCTTAGTTTGGAATCCCAGATAAACCCCTCTGCTGAAGAAAACAAATGCCAAAATAAATTACAGGCCAACAATCCCGACTAATGTGGTCACTGACTTTCTCATTCAGTCATCATCGTCTTATGTCATGTAGATAGGGTTGTTTCATAAATAGCTGTTAAAGTTTCTTTTATCCGACTTCACATTCAGCTGTTGACCATGTTGATCATCATTATTTTCCAGATGGCACAGGAGATAGCAATCCACAGAGAACTTAACCATCGTCATGTTGTACAGTTTCGATCATTCTTTGAGGATTCTGATAATGTCTACATAGTACTGGAACTGTGTCGAAGAAGGGTAAGTTTCTAAATAAGAATTGATAAGGAGATATATGTGCATTGTTTTTTTACTAAATACAACTATCATGCAGAACGTGAATCTATGGGCTGAGCGTATTGTTTTGTTTCTGCAGTCACTGATGGAACTGCACAAGAGGAGGAAAGCCATCACAGAGCCTGAGGCTCGGTACTTTGTGAAGCAGGTGGTCACAGCTTGTCAGTACCTCCACCATAATAAGGTTATACACAGGGATCTCAAGCTAGGCAACCTCTTCATCAATGACGAGATGGAGATCAAGATTGGTGACTTTGGTCTGGCCACCAAAGTAGGCTATGATGGAGAGAGAAAAAGGTGAGTTAAATTGAGACATGATGTTTGGTATGTAAACATGTTGGTCATGTCGTAATGGATTAAATCTTCATTTAGGTGTAAAGATCATTTATCCTTGTTAATGATGTAACACTATTGCCTTCATCAATAACAGTTGAATGACTGGAAGACACTTGCCAGTCAGTATAAAGTGAAAGTGTGACATACACATCAGTCAAGAAATATAGATCCTCAGCAGTCCCCAACATAAAGCATGAAAGTTGAGGGGTTCTTGTTATAAGCCTAATGCTAACACTAGAGGATTAATGATGTTTATGTCTATTAGATATCTTCTGCTTTGTTACTAACTTTAAAACTCAGTGGGACCTTTTGAATAATAAAGGAGTCAGGGACCTAAAAATTGAACATTGTGAATCCCTGGCAACAAACATCACTTAAAAAACAAATTATTAGCTACGAGAAATTACAATTATTACAGATTGTGTAAATATGGAAATCATTAGCCTTGAGGCGTTTCTCACACTTGCCTATGAATGACAAATTACCCTTGATTCCAGCTTGAAAATATGTTGGTTTTTGTACATGTTTTATACACTTTTGTTTTCAAACAAGTGTAGAACAATTCAACATGCTAACATGAAGACATCAGTTCAGAACAATGAAGCAACAGGTGCATAGAAAGTCAAACAATAACTTGAATGAATGCCCATGCTCATACTGATGCATGCAGACTTTACATAAAATACCAGAGCTAAACACCCCTAGTAACCTGGGCCCTGTTTCAAACATCTATCGTAGCGCTATGACTGTCGTAAGTCTGTTACAGTATAGGATGTATGACAGTCTGTCTAAATGATCTTGACTAATACGACATGTATTTCAGAACACTGTGTGGCACACCTAACTACATTGCACCTGAGGTTCTGTGTAAGAAAGGCCACAGTTTTGAGGTGGACATCTGGTCACTAGGATGTATTCTGTGAGTACATCAACATAATCATTTTTGAGAAATGTGCAATTTTTTGTCATTGGTTGTTCATAGTTTAATACCATTTACAATTCCCTTTTGCACACCCTCAGTTCAAGCTTTTAATTTAGAGGGCTAAAGCTTTAGAATACTTTTCTGTTGCAAGTTGAATTACTCTATGGGTTGTTATACCCAATAGAAAAACCTGTACTTGACAGTTTATGTTGAGTCAAATACATTTTCATTCAATCTTATCCTACCAACAAAATTTGTCAGAGATCTGTGTTTGGTGTTTCTCTAAAATATGCACCCTCAACTTTATGAAATTATATTTGAATGTCTGTACATTTTGATCCTAGGTACACATTGCTGGTAGGCAAGCCCCCATTTGAGACCTCATGTCTAAGAGATACATACATGAAAATCAAGAAGAATGAGTACAACATCCCATCCCGTGTGAGTCTCCCAGCAAGGAACCTGATCGCAAAGATGCTGAAGGCCGACCCTACAGACAGACCCTCCATTGACCAGATTATGGAGGAAGAGTTCTTCTCATCAGGTATGTCTTCCAGCATTATCAGGTTGGGATCTTCCTGCAACTTCACTGTAATATGTAATAAAACTAATTCAGTAAGTGGTTGCTCTTGGTAAAGAAATCACCAAAAAATCCTAAAGGCTGTACAAGCTATGAATGCTGCTGTTTTCCAGGCTACCTCCCCAGCAATCTGCCCACCAGCTGCCTCACTATGGCTCCTCGGTTTGACACGCTGTACAAGTCAGAAGGTCTTCATCGCAAACCTCTCTTGGAGATTAATGGTAAGATGGTTTTCCTTAATTATTTGCCAATATGATGTGAATTTGCCATCTAATGCTATGTTCAATGTTGACTATGATGAATGTGACATCTGCACCTATAGGGTATAGCCCTAGTGATCCAAGGACATTGTGGATAAAGGGATATTGAAAACGGAGTAGGTATTGACAGGATTAAAAGTTTTGTTCATTGCTTTAGGTGGACATCAAACACTCCACTGGAATGCTGTTCATGGATTATACAGTGTGTTCACTATTAGACAGTGTTTATGGATGTTCACCATGACATTCAACAGACAAAACCCCTTTGTTATTTTGGTCCATTTGTGTTTCCAGATATGCGTCCTCAGACTGCAGACCCAACCAAGAGAGAAATGGAGAAGAAAGAGAGTGAGAGGGCACAAATGAAAGGTACGCACAGCTGGTCTTGATGTCACATGAAGTACTACCCATTCCTATTTATTTACTACAATACTGCCATACAAGTGATTCCCAATCACCACTAGTCTCTTCTTCGTGTTGACGTATTTACTGTGTTACAGGTAGCGAGTCTCA